CACAAATGTAACCAAAAATGATAATAATAAACCCCTTTAAAATTTAATTCTTTTAGGGAAGACAGTGAGAACCAGAGTACAGGGAGACAGGTGTGAAATGCCACCTTTAGGTGTGGCACAACTATTACCAACATGGACTCAGTAGTCTTAGCTACTTGCTCTAGATGTGTGCAGTACTGACCCTGTCAGCAATCAATTATGGATAGGAGAAGGGCTCATGAGGCCTTACCCCTTACCACTAAACTATCAAATACTGGAAGATTATGGGAAAGGGGGAATTTTTTAATCCACCAGGCCCTCCAGGGGGAGAAAAATTCAGCTGTGTTCCAGATTCTCTTATGAATAAAAGTAATCCTTGTGTAGTAAAACCATGTAGAAGAAAGGTGTGTGGAGATGTCCTCAATGTTCCAAGTGTTCACATCACACCTGAGAATGGACACAAACCAGTTGAGTATCATAATTATGAAGAGGAACTATAAATGGAAGGAATGAGGAAACTTCCTCAGCTCTCCCCAATGACTTCTGAGACACTGGAGGAAAACCACATGTGCAAGCAATGTGGAAAACCCTTCAGCATGCATTGTTGTGTGCAAAGAAATCATGCTAGAGAGAAACCTTATGTGCGTGAGCCATGTAACACCCAACAGAGTTGGATCACATAAATACCTATGCACAACCAGTTTCACTTTCAGTCATGAAAGAAGTTGCAATGGGAAAAAAAGCTTTATATGTAAGAAATGTGAGAAAACCTTCACTTTCCCTTTTCTACTTTAGTACTTTGAAAGGAACCACTGGAGAGATACCTTGTGAGTGTGAGTAAGGTGTGGAAAGCATTTACTCGCTCCATTTCCTTCTGATACCAAGAAAAAAAAACCACAGTGAAAAGAAAACCTGTGGGTGCAAGCAATGTGATAAAGCCTTGCCTTGTTTCAGTTTACTTCATTGCTACAGAAGATCCACAACAGAGAGAACCCCTATGTGTGTGAGCAGTGTGGGAAAGTCTTTGGTGACCACACGGAACCCTCCAAACCTGTCATGATTTGTACGAGACTGGCCTCCATAAACTCACATATTTGCATGCTTGGTACCTAATGTGGACAGATTAGGAAGTGTGGAGTGGGTGTGGCCTTGTTGGAGGAGGTGTGTCACCCCAGGAGTGGACTTTAAGGTTTCAAAAGCCCACCCCAGGTCTAGTGTCTCTCTTTGCCTGTGAATCAGGATATAAAGTTCTCAGCCTGTGCTCCAATGCCTGCATGTGTGCCGCCAATGCTCCCTCTGTGCTGATAATGCACTAGCCTCTGAGAGTGTAAGCAAGCCCCCAACTAAATGGTTTCTTGTAGAAGAGTTTTCTTCATCATGGAATCTCCTCACGGCAACAGAACAGTGACTAAGACAGGATTCACTTTGAACTCAAACCTTTGTCAATATTAATACAGAAATTCACAACAAAATAGTGAGCACCTGAATTCAGCAGCATAGTAAAAGGTCATACCTCCCGAGCAAACAGCTTATTCACAGAGGGCAAGGATGGCGTAGCAGAAAAACTGATCGCTTTTGCACACCACAATAGCGAATGAAGGACGAGTTCTACTTCCCTCATTCCTATTCAGCACAGTAGTGGAAGCCTTTACAAGAGCAATTAAGAAAATATGAAAAGTAAAAAGATTTTGTTTTTAGAAAAATAAAAGCTAGTAGAAAGCAGAAACTAGAATTATCACTGCTCACATGATGTTTTATGTAAAACAAAAACCCTAATGTTTACACAAAATTTTACTGTTAGAACTGATAAATGAATTCTGTGAGGTAGTAAGATATAAAGTTACATAAATAGTTGTATTTATATATACTCTCCATAATTAATTGAAAGTCAATCACAAAACAGTCAAATTTAAAAGAATATTAACATAAAAATAAAATATTTCATGTTTAAGAATTAACTCAAAGAGGTGAAATACTTGCACAGTAAAAATCACAAGCATTGTAGAACAAACTAAGGAATAAATTAATAGAAATACCTCCTGTGTTTGTAGTTTGGAAAACAAATATTGCTAAGATATCAGCACTCCCTAAAAATGCGAATTCCTGAAATTGCTATAAAAACCCAATAGCATCTTTTACAGAAATAGGTAAGCTGGTCCAAAAATTTATATAGCATTTCAATGGGTCCTGAATAGCTATAACAATTTTTAAATTGGAAAGGAAAAAATGGGGGTCTCATACATTCTAATTTTAAAACTTAGTGCAAGTTTATAATAATCAAAATAGTTTAGTACTGGCATAATGACATATCTTAAGACCACTGAAAAACAATATAAAGTCCAGAAACAAACCCCCAAGCATAAAATCAAATGAGAAGAGTGCCAAAATTATTCTGTGAAAGAACAGTCTTTCAATAGGCAATGCTGCTGAGTGCTGGAGAAATGGCTTATTCAGTAAGATGCTTGCCCAGCCTTACGGGGGGAGGGGGAGGACTTGAGTTTAATCAGGAAAATATCTGTATCACACACTTTTAACTCTAGAACTAGGGAAGTGGAGACAGAAGGATCTCTAGGGAACACACCACTCAGTCAGTCTGTCCTACTAGGCAAATTCCAGTTCAGTGAAAGATTCTGTCTCAAAAGTGAAAAGTGGATGGCCTCTGATGGCACCGAAGTTTGTCCTCTGTCCCCACATGTACATGTACATGCACAAATACACATAAACACACACACGCACACGCACACACACACACACACACACACAGAGAGAGAGAGAGAGAGAGAGAGAGAGAGAGAGAGAGAGAGAGAGAGAGAGAGAGAGAGAGAGCAACAGAAAACAAGATGCTGGAACAAATGAAAGTCTAGATGCATGAGAAGGAAGTGTGACCTCTATAAAACATGGTAGATAATAACTAACATAAATCAAAGACCTAAATATTAGATCTAAAACTACAAAATCCAGGCTCAGAATTTCAAATCTTTGGATTTGGCAGTGATTTCTTGATTGTGGCATCAGTGGCAGGGATAACAACAGAAGTGGACTTTATAAAAAAGAAAACTCTTATAATTTAGACCTCAGAAGAAACTATCAACAGAGGAAAAAAACGGAACAACATAGAATGGAAGAAAATATTTTAAAGCTATATTATTTGATAGAGGAGATCAATAACACACATGTAAATAACTCTTAAAAACTCAACAGTAGCTAAGCAAAACATGCATTCAATGGAATGTTATATTGCCTTAAAAATGAAATGTTGACATATGCTACAACATGGTGGAAGTTGAAAGAAAAATGTGGTATTTTCATTTATATGAAGTGTTGAGAGTCAGAAATCACAGAAAGAGAAGTGTGTTCTAACTGCCAGGAGCTGAAGTGACTGAGAAGTGAGGGGTCATTATTTAGTGGTTATAATTTCAGTTTTACTAGAAAAAGAAAGCATTTTGGAGGAGATGCATGGTCATTTCAGCTGCACACTACAAATGCATTTCATGTGACTTAGTTGCACACTTAAAATAGTTAAAATAGTAATTTGTTGCTGGGCGGTGGTGGCGCACGCCTTTAATCCCAGCACTCGGGAGGCAGAGGCAGGCAGATCTCTGTGAGTTCGAGGCTGGGCTGGACCGATAGCCTCCAAAACAATACAGAGAAACCCTGCCTCGTAAAAACCAAAAAAAAAAATAGTAATTTGTTAAATGTATTTTAATACAATGAAGATGGGGAAATGTAATTCAGATCAGGCACACACATTTGCTCAAGGCCTTTGTGCCCCGCCCCCAACATCTTCCCACACACACCAGTGGTTCCTGTTTCTGTGCAAATCCAGCACCCCTGCACCCTCAGAGGCCTTACAGACTAGTCTCCCTTTTATTTTGGGTCTCATTGCTTCTCCCTGCCCCCAGTCACGCCATTCCAGTCTCACAAACTCCCAGTTCATCAAGCAAGCTGGGTACCTTCCCACCACCCTGCTCTGCCTGGAATGCTCTACCCCAGATATCCACAGGGCTCTCCCTTCATGCAAATCTCACCTCCAGTGAAAGCTATTCTAATGATCCCATGGAAGCCTGGCCATCCACTCACCCAGAACTCCCAGCATGCTTTACTTTCCTCTACCACATTTCTTTAAGCACTTTAAGTCTTACTGAATAATGTACTCATCATACATATTTTTGGCACATCTCTTTCACAGGAATGTAAATTCCTCAGGGGCAGGAACTTCAGTTTGATATCTCAAGCATTTGCAACAGGGCCTGGCATTTAGTAGCCATGTAATCAGTATTTGATGAATGAATTAACAAAATTTCCATGTAAGGTTGAATTAACAACTTTTGACTCACTAGCCAAAGGAAGCTATGGTTGGGAGCATCCATGGAGCCAAATATTGTACAAAGCCGCCTGCTATACTCAACTACCACTTCAATTACATTTTACATACACACACAAACACGCACGTGCGCGCGCACGCGCGCACACACACACACATGAATGACACACACACAAAGTGGAGGGAGACAGAGACAAGGAAAGAGGAGAGATTGAAATGGGCATTAAAAACAATATCATTGTCAGGTAGGGACTGGAATGGGGGAGAGGGTATTTTTGAGCTGTGGATTATATGCATGCATGAAGACCCTGCATATATCCCTGACACGTGTTACCAGATGGTCCAGTGCCTAGTTTCAAAGGCATCACAGTTAGGACCCCTGTTCATATAACTGACTCACATTGCATGAATGGGGCTCTGGTTTTGTGCAAGGCTGAGAGAAGAGCAAGGGGAAGAGTTCATGCCCCCTCTCTCGTTGACTTTTCCTTGCAGCCAAAATGATGAGATGGAAAATGGCGGACCAGTGGCTGCTGGAAAAATGTATTTCTGGAGTCAGAGGGATATGGCGTTTCTGTTCCTACCTCATGGGCAGTGCAGGTGGGTTTCTGAAAAAGCTCTTAACAGTTTCCAGGGTGTCCAACCCCAAGATGGCGGTTACGTGTGTCCAGAAAAAAATCTAGATATATTTAATAATGCTGTTTGGGTTTAAAAAAAAAAGCCTTGAGAAGCTGGGATCCATAAGGTAAGATACAGTAAAAGCAATCCAAGTCCCTTTCACTCATCCGTTTAACAGTATTTGCTAACCATGTCTATGTGACAGCCACTATGCTAGTTGGATGGAATACAAAGATACACAGGGGTCATATGTTCCTCCTCCTCCTTCTTTTTCTGTTTTTCGTTGTTTTCTCTTGGAACGGGGTTTCCCTATGTAGCCTTTACTGTCCTGGAACTCACTGTGTAGACCAGGCTAGCCTTGAACTCAGATTCACCTGTTTCTGCCTCCCAAGTACTGGGACTAAAGGGCACCACTACTACCCAGTAAGTTTCTGCTTCTTAATGTTCCCACTGTGGTAGGAACCAGACCTGGAGCCTGTGGTGAGAGTGGGAAACACTATTCCTTGCTCTATTGGGTCCAGTAGCGTCAGGGTGCTGGGAGGTCTCTGGCTGACCCAGGATGACACTCCAGCCCAGCACACTGAGTTTCATTCGGTGCCCTAGTTTTAAGGATAAAACCCCGGATCTCTGGGGAGCAATAAGAATTAGGGATTGGCAAAGTTACAAAATAGGGAACATGGTCTTTGGCACCTTTGGACTGTGGCCCATCTGTAGGCTCTTAGAATATTCTTTTCCCTGAGATCTTTTTTCCCCTTCTTTTCCTGACAACACACAATATTCCATGATGTCATAGTTTCCTCTAAAGTGACTTTGTTTTTTAAAAGCAAAACCAAAGAAAGACATAAAGGACTCTTTCCCATTTAGTCTGTTTTCTCCATGATTCCCATCCTCACACACTGGAGACTTTCTGAAGACACTGGAAGTTGGTTAGTGATGGTGTTTGGTGCAGCAGACAGAGCATGTCTTGGGAGGCATGAGCAGCTGCACCAAGAGACATTCATCAAAGAGGCCAGATTAGAGTGCAGCTCTGTGTCTCTCCTGTCTGTCCTGTCTGACCTGTAGGTGAAGAACTGCTGGATTTCTGGATCCTTGCTGAGAAGATCCTGAGCATTGACGAGACAGATGTGTATGTGAGAGACTACTACCTGTCCCTCCTGTTTGTGCTCAAGGCCACTCACCTGCAGGAAGGCTCCCGGGTGGCGACTCTCTGCAACATGAACATCAGTAAGAGTCACAGATCATATGTGAAATGGAATTCTTGTGGGACGTAACCAACAGTTCAACCTGGTATCTGCTCTTCCCCCTCTTTTGCTTTCCACACTGTTACCTCGTCCATCTGCTCGGTGTCAGGGATGCAAGTGGAACACAAAGCCTGTAACAGAGAAAGGGTTGAAAAACACCAGCTATACTTAGGGCGATGCTCAGATCTTCCTGAGATCCAGCTGGCTAGTGCAGGCTGACTGGAAGAAGAGAACGAGAATTAGGACAGGAGAACTGGGAAATTCCTGCATCTTCTGAGTCTGCATGGCTCTGTTATTTGTGTTAATGAGATTCTCTAGAACAAATAACAGCTCATGGACTCAAAGCAGTACCCATGACCTTTGCGAGCAAAGACTGTTTGTAAGTTTTAGAGTTCAACAGAAATTATTTGTGGCTTAAAATACTGTCTGGCCTACTATCTGAGACATTGTCTAAACTCTTTCTCTTGAATGAAAAATGAAGAGGCATTTTAAGCACAGTATCACTGTGTTCCAGAAGATAGGCTGTTTGAGACTAGCCATAGTCTTCTCATTCCTAACAATAATTAAAATTATTGACATTAAATTAATGATATTATCTGGGCATGGGTGCATATGCCTGTAATCTCAGCACTTGGGAGGTGGAGCCAGGAGGACCAGAAATTTAAGGCCATCTTGGCTACACAGTAAGGACAGCCTTGGCTACATGAGACCATTTTAGCAATGATTGGATATTATTTGAAGAATTTGACTTCTTGGAATTATCTAGCCCAAATTCTCTGGTCATCATTTAAAATCATGAGTGCCATTCACGTGTGTATAATCTCATTTTTAAAAATCATGTTTTATTGTATCTTATGTTTACAATAAAATCTAAAATGTGCTCAAGAAATCCCACAAAATGGGTCGCTTCTGTGGGGAAGAAGAGTCATGAGAGAGAAGCAACTATTGTGTGCTAGGAAGACATCAAAAGCATGCCACTGTGTTCTACCTGCTTCTTTCCCCACAGTTTCTCCCAGAACCAGCAACATATGATGGGGGAAGTCCTTCTGCGTATATGTTTGTCTTATTGGTTGATAAATAAAGCACTGTCGGCCAATAGGGAAGCAAGATAGGTGGGACTAGGAGTCACGGAGGATTCTGGGAAATGTAGTCAAGGGTGGAGGGTCTCCATGTGATCCTGGGAGGAGAGGATGCAAGTCTGTCGTTCTCAGTAAGATAAGACCTTATAAAATATGTATTAGTAATTATGGGTTAATAATTAAGTCAGAGCTAGCCATTAAGAAACCATAGCAAGCTGGGTGGTGGTGGCACACGCCTTTAATCCCAGCACTCAGGAAGCAGAGGCAGGCGGATCTCTGTGAGTTCGAGGCTGGGCTGGACCAACAGCCTCCAAAACAAAACAGAGAAACCCTGTCTCGTAAAAACCAAAAAAAAAAAAAAAAAAAAGAAACCATAGCAAACAGCCAATAGCTTCATCATTATTATAGCATCCTGGGTGTTCATTTAGGACTGATGCAGCATTGGGACCAGGCTGGCAGCAAAAGTTATCATTAAAAACATACTACACACAAAAACATTCAGACTCTCCAGCCCCCTCTCATGGCCATCACCACTTCATTCTCACCCTTTATCTCTCTATCCTTCCAGAGTCCCTCCTGAACCTCTCCATCTGGCATCCCAACCAGTCCACCACCAGAAGGGAGATCCTAAGCCACATGCAGAAAGTGGCTCTCTTCAAAATCCAGAGCTACTGGCTCCCCAACTTTTACACCCATGCCAAGATGACAATGGCCAATGAGGAAGCATGTCATGGCCTGATGCAGGAGTACGAGACCCGCCTGTGCAGTGTTTGCTGCACACACACAGGAGGGATCCCTTTAAATATGAGCATCAAGAAATCCCGCCGCTCCCAAAGGAAGTACTCAAGCAGGAAAGCCAAGAGGAAGCTGTGGCTGTTGATTGATCCTATCTTATGGTCTCTGGAGACGGACATCAAGCCAGAAGTCTCCACTAAGCCCCCAAAAGAGATGAGTCTTGCAGAAAAGGTAGTTTCACAAAAGCCTTTTCTGGGAGTAGATTCTTCCAAGGAAACAGTAATCCATTTCCTGAACAAGGATACTCAGTATGCCAAGAAACCCGTTGTGAAGAAGAAATCCAAGCTCCAACTCCACATGGAGGGCCTCTTTGAGGCAAAGTTCACCAACAACCTGAGAACATCCACTCCGATTATCAATCACACTGCCCCCCTGGCAGTCAAGAAGTCCCTCAGACGAGGCATCTCTTTTGGGTACACTCACTGGGCCCTGAGTGCTGATGCCTGTGCAGGGAGTCCCTTCCGCTATCACCTGAAGAAGCTGAACTTGAAGGTGGAGGTGCAACTCTTGGACCTCTGGCAGGAACTGCAGCATTACCTCGGTGTTCTGATGAGTAACAGGAAGAGCGGGAATGCACTCTTTCGTCACATGCTGGGTAACAGAATCTGTGAGCTCTACTTGGATGAGCAGATCGGGCCACCCTTACCACTCAAACCTCAGACCATTCAGGGCCTAAAGAAACTCCTACCTTTGGGGGATGTGAATCCCTGGGTCCCCAAAGCCCAGAAGGAGATCTGCAAGGTAGGATGTGTCTCAAAGAAATTGGTTAGCATCTGCAGATTAGGTCAAGGGCCAATAAAAAAAATCTGTCTGATCATCTATACTGAATTTTTAAAACTAGAATTACTAACACAAACCTTCATACACTAGGGGCCTTATTAATTTTCTAAGGTGAACAATTTTGTGACTTCTTAAAACAATCAAAAACTCTGAAATTAAATGGCTGAGTGTGCGGTCAATATCCCCCTCCCATTGCTTTTCACTCCTTCAAGAGCAGCCTCCCCAAACCAGGAAATTCAGAGGATCTCACTGAAGGAAGCCTTAAGAACTCTTAGGCACTGGGAAGCAGCCTCCTCATTCTAAGTTCCTTTCCGTTGCTGTAATAAAACACCATGGCAGAAGGCAACATAGTGGGAATATGTTTATTTGGCTTCCAGTTTTGGGTTGCAGTTCATTCTTTCAGGAAAGTCAAGGCGGGAACTTAAAGCCTTACATCCACAATCAAGAGCAGAGAGAACAAATGTATCCATGCTGCCTGCTTACTTTCTGGAGCTTTCTTCACTTACACAGTCAGCCCCAGTGGACCCCACTCCTGGAACTTATTCTTTGAGGCAAGGACTTTCAACCACACCCAGAACTCATAGATAGCTACTCTTCACTGGTAGAACTATTCCTGACAGAAAGTTGCTTCTGGGTACCCCTTGTCTTCATCTTCCAAGGCTGAAATTAACTTCCTGGCATGTGTGTGGGCACCAGAGATCCAGACTCTGGTCCCCTCGATTGCAGTGGCAAGTGCTTTAACCACTGAGCCATCTCCCCAACCTGCTTTACAGAGTTCATCAGACAGTTTTTCAAAAACACCATAGGCACCTCACAGCTTGCAAAATAATGCTCATGTCACTGAACCAGTCATTGAATAACCCATTTTCTCTACCTCATCTCTTGCCGTCCTTGCATCTCCCAGGCTCTTTAGAAGAGAATACCCATTTTCCTTCAACATACCCTTTCTCCACTCTGTGCCTTTGCTAAGTGCCTCCTAATGCCCTTTCCTTGGCTTCCCTCCAATAAACTTCTATTATCCTGAAAGGTGCAGAGTTGAGCTTACATTTTCTTACTTTTATAAACTTCTCTTGGATTTTCCTAATTTGATCAGCTACAATGGTTACCTTCTCTCTCTTCCCAAAGAACTCTGTCTGCATGTCAATCACACATACACTGCAAGTACCACAGCTCTGTTCACCCTGCTGGGAGGTGGGCTCCTTGGAACAAGTCGGTGGCCAGCAATTTGCACAGTGCCTGGCACATGGGAGGCACTTGGAAAATATTTGCCAAGTAAAGAAAGAATGTGGGTAAATAAATTCAGCCAGCACCAATTCATTGGTTTTGTTTGCCCTGATATCTGAAACAGCACTTACAACTGTGAGAGGTCTCCAAGTTGGGAGTGTGAAAGCAGAGTTGCTTGGCTTTCAATGCCTTTTTGAGAAACAAGGGCAGAGCTTCAGGAAGGCACTACGCAGTATGCAGATTGCAGATATTAAGTGCTCTGAGCTATTTTGTCCTTTCAGTGTGTATTTATTGCTATTCCCTGAGACTTACAGAGAGGTTGTGAGAACTGCTATATTAAAAAATAAACATGGGGAATATATCCCCTGGATGTTGCAGCTGAGGTTTGCCACCTCAAGAGCTCTCCCAGTGAGAAGCCAGACCCTGCAATCTGCTGTGTGGTGTAGCCACAGCTGGAAGCCTTAGAGGGCTGAGGGCTCATCTGCTAATAGTCACTTCGTTCTTGGATTTCAGGTCCTCTGTCCCTGGTACGATGAATTCCTGAACGAAGAGGACTACTGGTTTCTCGTTTTCACAGTAGGAGGGACTTTGGGTTGGGAAGGGCAGTTCTGTTTTAAAGCCTTGAAGTTAGGACTTTTTCCTGGGGGCAACTGGAGGTGGACACGGTCTCTGATGTTCTAAAGACGATAAACCTAAGGGGTTGGAGGGATGTTCAGAGGTTTAGAGTGTTAATGCACTCCCAGAGGACTCAAGTTGCCAAGACCCACATTGGAGAGCCCATAACTGTGTGTAACTCCACCTCCAAAGTCAACTCCAGCTCTGATGCCTTCTTCTGGCCTTCAAACCCACACATGCATACACACACACACACACACACACACACACACACACACACACACACACACACAGAGAGAGAGAGAGAGGGGGGATAAAAATACAAATTTTTTTTAAAAAAACATAAAGACCTCAAGGAAAAAGACTCAGTACATAGCTAACTCTAAGGAAGTTATATTCGTGTACAATTCTCTCTTAGAGAAAATGAGTTGGATTATGGGGTCGGGGGCATGGCATATAGCTCTAAAGACTGTCGGGCAAAATCTATGTGACCAGGAAGCTTGGAGATGGAGAACTGAGCAGTCACAAATCTCTTGCTTCTGGCTGACTCCCACAACAGTTATCTCTCACCTCTTCTCCCAACTCCTCTCAGACTCAAACACGCTTCATCAAAGCCCGGTGGCATAAAAGAGAAGCCACAAGCAAAGAAGAGAACATTCTTCTTTATAAGAGGATTCAGGAATCTCTGGTGTTAAGCCAGGGTTTGGCTAACTTGCAGGAAATGGAGTCTATGCAGTGGCAAAAAGTGGCTACTGAGAACCTGAGGCGGGGCGGCTCTCTCCAGGTAGAACTGACGACGGCTCCTGTCTTCTTAGAAGGTAAGGGCAAGATAGATGCTGCTTTCTGCTTCTGTTGTCCAGGTTGATCTTCCATGACGGTTCGGTATCTAGCATCTTAGGTCCTTGGGTCATGCACAACTGAACCATGAAAGGTCCTGTCATTCTCAAAAACCCTATATGATCCTGACCTATGAGCTGCTAGTTCTGAAGCTAATTCACAAAAAGTCAAAGCCAAAACCAAGAAAACTCCTAACAAGTTATTTGACATATATGTAAAAAAGTTAATGCAATAGCAGAATATTTGAAATTCATTTGCATCTCCTCCTTTCAAAAAGTAATTGTTTTGAAGAGATAAAAAAATCATTTGGATGAATGAGTTACTTCTTATACTGGATTAACAATAGAACTAGCAGAGAAGGCAGAACACACCCATTCTAGAAAGGAGGGGTGTCTATGTTTCTTTGATTCCAACTTAACTTAGAAAACTTGTGTTCTTTATGTAAGTACCCCATCTAAACAGTATTGTCTGATTCAAATAATGTTTTAAAGGCAATGTTTTCAAGAAAAGTACATGGATATTTGACCCTAAAATGGACAGCTAAACTCTGTCTTTATTTTTCCTTCACAGATGTAAACAAAATGACCTTTGAGGAGCTTGCCTTTAAGAATCCAAAGTTGGCCATAGAAAAGATCAGTGAAGACTTCAAAATATACTGCGAAAAGGCACCTGCAAAAGGCAAGTGTTTACAGTGTTTTTTTCAAATCTAAGATTTTCCAAACTCTAGAGGCCTAAGGCAAAAGAGGAATCATACCTTATTTGCAAGGAGATAATTCTCCAGAGATAATCACCATGTACTCCCACTCCTACAGAGTCCTAGAGGGTGTGATGCAAATCAAACGCAATTATAAATCATTGAGGATGGTGACAATTAAGATCATTTGAGGGGGGTCTCTGCAGGTGTCATACAGGGAAGTAAATCACCCAAAAAGATAAGAATAAAAACAGGGTGCAGACTGGCTTCATCAACCTGGGCCAGACTTCAGAGAGTCTAATGACAGGTGATTTATTCACAATGTTTTTAAGCCCAATACAACTTGAAAAAAAGTTTCCTCATGAAATGCAATCCCTGGTGTACAAAGAAACATAATTAAATTGAAACCCAACTCAGGGTACATGCCATTTTCCCCAAGAAGATGGGTTCTAGAGATAGACCACCTGTACTAGCTTAAGGGCATAAGGGTCTGTCCCATACAGATAACAAAGAGGTCATTTGGGCTGTTAGCCACCTCTGGTCCTAGTTGTGGAAGCTTGGGGTAGCTTCTGGCTATCAGAGTCATTTAGATTACTAGCCAGTAGGAGTTTGTATGGCCTGGATCGCACAGACCACCAGGCTGTTAATCCTGTCCAATTATCAGTTTTTTGGATGGAAGAACAGGTTTTACATCTTTCCCATTGGAAAGACAATCCTGTGTGCTTAACATTCCTGGTTTCTCTGGAGATCTGTGGGCTCAAGGACCTCTATGTTGTGTTCACAACAATCATTCATGTCTTCTTTATTATTTAATAGACATTTTAAAATAATGTGACTTTATCTTCTGCCAAGTTTCCTGGAGTCAAAGATTTTGCTGTTGTGTCTTTTTGAAGCCAGGGGGTTGTGGAAACATATTTCCTCTGAGTGAGGAAAACATTGAGGCTTTGACAGCAGAACTCTCCAGATACCAGGGAAAGCTCCGAAGTTAGGATGGCCCTAATTGTCCCTCATTGAAAGAAAGTACCTAGACTTTTGAACTGCCACCTTGACCCAGATGGGATGTGTTTGTCTTTGTGGGGGGTGGGGAGCAAGGGGACAGGTAGACTGCAACATTGGGTCATTCCGTTTCCTTTGGTTCAGGTAACAGAGGGAGCAGTGAGCTATCAGTAATCCACACTGCTGGGAGAATGCTTTGGTCCTAAAGGGAAGATTGTTTCATATAGAAATGCCACTGGTCTTGGAGCAGCTTCTCCAGAGATCAGTTTGGTTTCTTGGAGATCGTATTCCAGAAAGAAAATTGCAATGTGTATAGAGAGGAAGGCTTCTCTACTCCCTCCTCTGCTCCCTGTGCTAGACTCCCATCCCTCTCACCTGGTACCTCTGCTGATCTTGGAGAACCTACCAGGCAGGGCTGAATAACCTAGACTCTCATCCCTGATGTATCTGAGATCCACCTTGTCATGAGTTCTCTGGCAGTTGCTGCTTCATTTGATGATGTATCATCAATATAGAGCTGAGGAGTACCAAAGAGCAGTGTGAAATTGTCCCTTTCTCCTACTATCCCCAAATATTGGGCTCATTCCATTTTTCTTTTCCATGTTTATGCTTCCCTTCTCTGATCAGGAGAAACATAGTTCCCACTGTCTTAAACTTATTTTTTTGTCAATAGTCCCATCATGTGAGTAGTCTACCTCTCCCCACCCCTGCCCCTTCGTTTTCACAAATGCCAGTGTCCCCTCTCCTGTTCTTTAGTGCTGTATACTGGCACCTCCATGCATGAGCAACTCCCTGCTTTGCTAGAACCCCACAGCCACCGTTAGACTGATCCTTTGAGGGAAAACCTTCCTCATGCTGCATGCTCTAATTGACCCCAACTAGCAGGAATATGGGTCCCAAGGTGAGGTGTCAAGTATGAGGACCAAGGATTAGAAATAAAGACAAAAGCAATAGCTGGGACCAAGATGCCTTGCGTAAGTTGCACAAGTTGATTATCATACCAAGCAAGTTTATTAAGAAGCACAGCATCATATATACTATTTACAGAGGGTAAAACAGCCAAGGTCAGCAGGGAGCTAAGTCAGACAATGTTGGCAAAGAGAATACGGGAAACCTCAGACACAGTTGTCCAACCACTGATGGTCATAGCCCAGGGGAAGAACTGGATCCCCAGAAACCACAACCGTGACTCCTACAAGGCACTGGCTCCAGCCCAGAACCAGCCTTTGTCCTTTCATGAGGGCCTTTGAGGCCTTTGGGTCAGTCTGGCTCCCCACATCTAACAATTTGTGTCAGGTCATCACTGCATGGAGTCACTCTACCTGCCACTGAGGCTCTGACCACCACCTTTGTGGGAGCTCATAATGACGCCATCTTGTGGCTTGATTCCATCTTGACTTAGGTTAGAGAGTTCAAGCTTGTTTTTTTGCTCCTTCCAAGGTCAAACAACAGGATATTCTATCTAAGGTATAGCAACTAGATGTTTTGTTCCTGAAGACCTAATAACAGGATGTTTGACTTAGGGCATAGCTATTAGATATTTTGAATATTAAGGAAGTAATTGTTCTTTGTATCTTGGAAAAGAAGTCTTTTGTCCTCCCCTTGGGCTTGGGGTATAAAAGGACTATGAAAATATAAACTCGAGGCTACAGTATTCTCTGACAGCCCACCTGACTATATCCTATGTCTATTTCTTTTGTGTCTCTGTTAATTTCTACCTGCAATTTCTCGATCGACATGTCTCCCACCAAGTACAGACCAATTAGTCAGGTGGGACACACCTTCAATCCAGCTATCCCTTCGTGGAGATGAGATGTATGTATTCTCATCCTTATTAGGGATCTTGTTCATAACCTGGGTGGGCTCTCTCCTCATCTTGCCTGGACTTTCTTACCCCACATGCGGTGACCCCTAAACATGGATATCCTCAGTTTGCTTAGCTTCTGACATCCCATGGGGGCCCACATCTAGGGGGATCATCATTTTCACCCTACGTAGAATGTTGGTCCATGTTGGCTTGATTTCTTTCCTTTAATACGAACATACTTGCTCAGCCCACATGGACTCCTCACACTGTGCCGGCCTTTTGTGATGCCTTCCTCCAGTTTCTGCTTCTGTTCTGCATTTTCCAGATACATGGTCCTTCTTCCTGTGGACCCTCTGTCCACCTTGGTTGGGCTTCTGAGCCAGCGCAAAGAAGCTTCCTCTAGGGAAGGTCCTCTGACTGTGTTGGGGATCTAGTGGCCCACTGGGTCAGTGTGACTCATTCCTTCTTTTGGTTCTCCACTTATCTGCCTTGATTTTTCATTTTATTCCTAATGATTATATAGTTTAATTGTTGAGGAGTTAAGAGCACTTGCTACTCTTGCAGAACAATTGGGTTCTGTTCCCAGCACCTACATGGCTCCCCACAACCATCTATAACTCCAGTTCCAGTATATCCAATGCCCTGGTCTGGCCCCCATGGGCACTGCACATACATGGTGCCTATATAGCTATTCAGGAAAAACATTCATACACATAAGTAAAAAAATCATTTTTTAAAGAAAAAATACAAAGCCATAACTTAAGTTTTAAAAGTTTCTTGGGGTGTTTCACTGGTATCTGTCATTATTTTAGGATACATTATTTGTTCTGATTTTATCATCCTGACTGGAAGTATATGGAGTGCTCTAGGTAGTTTCAATTGTCATTTTTACTCTCACAGTGCTCCTCAGACCAAAGAAATGATATAGCCATCCTGCCGATTGGCAAATAACCCCACTCCAAGTGAACATTTTAGGGACTGGAGAAATGACTTTAATATAGATCTGTGGACCTGGTAGACACTGTTGTGAACTGGATTTGGTCCAGGACTCCATCTAAACCCTAGTTCTGAGAAGCGCCTTCTCTAATGAGAGTCCGTGATGACATTCTGGGTATTCAGGCAACAGGGCTGACTGGGTATCACCTTTTCAAAGGTGTTTTAGTTTTCTTTCCAGCCATCATGATAAAATACCTGAGGGGAGCTGCTCTAAAGGAGAAAAGGGTTCTTGGGTTTTCAATCCAGGTAAAACCAAAGCAGGAACTCAGGGAACAAGTCACACCTGCCGTCAAGAGGGAAGGGTCTTCCTCTTTGTTTCATTTTTTTAAAAGAAATGCCCAGTTCCTTAAGCTTCTTGCATTTACAAAATTGCCAGCTATCTTAAGAAAAATGTAGCTTGGGAAGTTTTTCTATTTTCTCAAGCCCTGAACTTTGTTTATGTTCACTGTGGCTTAAACACTGATAATTATTGTTTCAACATACTTTTCCCATTTTTACCTTCTTTTTCTAACCTTTATGTTTTAACTGAATTTCTTATTGGTTTATTTATGACTTAGAAATATTGTTTTCTTTTTAACTCAACATTTTAAGTGTTTGGTCCTAGGAAGGATTTTGCTTTTAAAGCTTTGTGAGGCTTCTTTTTCTTTTATGTTAAGTCTTCTACAGTCTGGATTTCATTTTTTAAATCATTCAGTTGCATTTATTTAGAATCAATGTATATATCTATGGCTTTCAATAATTTTTGCATGCTGCCTATCACAGAAATATTATCAAATCACACAAAATACCCTGTGTGTGCACAGTCTATTTAATATGCATATTAAGCCATTGACTGTAACTGGATCATGTTCTGATTTTGAGATGATTGTTTCTACCTTGGTGATTTTATAGTCAGCATTTTTCTTCTATAAAATTAAAGAGTCTTAGGTAGTCAAGGTTAGTCTCAGACTTGATTTGTAATTGACAATGACCTTGAATTTCAGATCTCCTACCTCTGCTTTGTAAATGCTAGAATTTTGGGCAAGAACATCACATTGTGCTGGGGATTGAGCTCAGAGCTTCATGAATGTTAGGCAAACACTCTGTCAACCAAATGACACCCCAAATTCCCAAAGGGTTTTGATAATGGTGAGATTTGTAGGATCCATTATTTTTCTTGGTTTGTTTTTTGTTTGTTTGTTTGTTTTTTGGGTTTTTTTTTTTGAGACAGGGTTTCTCTGGAGGCTGTCCTGAAACTTGCTCTGTAAACCAGGATGGCCTCAAACTCACTGAGATCCGCTTGCCTCAAGTGCTGGGATTAAAGGCGTGTTCCACCAACACCTGGCTGGGATCCATTATTTTTCAAAAATATTTAAATACATTTCTTAGAATAATTGTTCGAATGTACATCACAGAGCAAGGCACATGTTCTGAATTGAGTGTGGGTTTCCAGAATACCATTTCAATGCCACATCTTTGGAAAGAAACCCATTTTAATTAAAGCAAGAAGTTGAGTGGAGCCTGTAAAAATTGAGGTCAACAGTTAGTCAGTTCAATGATTACAAAGTAAAACTTTCAAATGCCATGTAGAGTGCTTCCGAGAGGACAGCCAAGATATCGATAGACACAGAATACCACATGCATTGTGGCTGAATGAAAAACTCAGATTGGAAGGCAGGTGGCATCTCCTCTTAGTAATGTACCTAGAAGTGTAGCAGACTTGGTCTCAGCAGTCTCTCAGGAAGGTGGGCTCTAGGCCTGAGGGCCAACATGAGCATCTAAGACAGCCTGACCTGATAACAGTGCCCAGATATCCAATGACCTGATACAATAGCTGTAGCTGATGCCTGATAAATGTCCCTTCTTATTCTCTGTTTATAAAATATTGTTACCTAACTTTGTGATCTTTCTCAGTTTATACAGTGGAAATTGTCAAGCAGCCAAAACACACACCCTCACAAAGGAAAACATCCTTCGTTAAGAAAGCTGTCATAAGGAAGCCTTCCATAAGACCAAGGTAAGATGGGGGAATCTGGCTACAGCAACATCTCTAGGCATAGACCTCATTTCTGTGAGGAGGTTCGCAGACCTTTTTCTGTAGATCATATACATATGAACAAGATATTGAGAATATTAAGCTGCTTGTTTTATAAAGTGCTGTGTGACATATATTACGAAATATCAATGTTTTAATAGTTTTATTTGTTTATTATGTCTGTGTGGTAGATGAAATAATTATGTACTGTGGTTACACAATATACTAATTGTTTATTTACCCCCCAAAGTTTTATTTGTTTATATATATAATTATACCATATGTAATATACATATGTATGTGTATGTGTATATATATATGTATATATATATATCCTCCTCTATTACTTCCTTCTCATCAAACTTGTCCTGCTTAACTTGCTCTAGTTGCTCTAGTTTTACGTGTGTGCACGCGCGTGTGTGTGTGTGTGTGTGTGATCCGATACACTTTAATTAGAATTACTTGCATGAAAATAGGTAAGAGTTATTTACCTGAGCAAGAGTAAAGTACCACTGGCTACACCACTATGACTCCTCTCCCCTCAACAACTGTTAAATGCCTGTAGCTCCCCAGGGAGGGGTGGAGCCTTGCAAGCCCATCCCCATCCGTGATGGCATGTGGATGGGTCCTGTCTCTTACAGGTCGTATGCATGTCATTACTGATGTTGTGAGTACACAGGTACAACGGTTGTGTCATGTTCAAACTACAGGATTTCACAGTACTCCTCATCCTCCACCTCTACATTCTTTCTGCCTTCTCTTCCCTCAGCCATGGAGAGGATTGATGTAGATGTCCCATTTCGGGCTGAGCACTCAACAGTGACTTATGACTATTTTGGCCAATTATGAGTCTCCACATTAAGTACCACTTATCATGTCTTCCGCACTGTAGAGAAGCATATTTTGCTTAGTCTCAGCCTTCCTTTCATTCTTATTGCTGTAAATAGCACATGTACCTCAACTCACTGAGGAACTTAAGGTTCCACACTGTTACAGTGGCCTCACAACTGGTCTCTTACTTCGTGTCTCTCCACTTTCTAATCAGTCTAGGGTCCATCTCTGCTGGGAGAAGATTCTGTGGCATGTCCTGCAGAGACATCATCTGTCTTTCTTTCCACTTCTCTTGGCACAAATGCCACTTAGACATGAAAAGTTCCCCTTACAAATCCACTGTAATCTCCTGCTCTGAAGCTGCATCCCCAGAGACCACCACCAATTCCATGTGCTTTATACTTCAGGTATAAAACTTCTTGACTATAATTTTCTCTCAGGCCAATTTATTCATTGTACTCTATTTTTTGTCTAATTGCTTGCTACATGAAAAGTTCATCTCTAGATTATGAAAACATAATAGTAGACAAAAAGACAGTCCAATCTGGAAATGTATTTTGTATAGAAGAAAATGCCCACAGGGGCTTCTGCCACTGTAGCATTCACCAGAGGTTGTCTGTTCCAAACGCTTTGAATAAGTCTCCCCTCCCCTTGGATAATGGAAACTGTCTCCTGACTTGGGATCACTGATTCCTCTTGCTGTTCTAGTCCGTACTCAGCACTGCTCTCTACTCACACCACAGAAATATTTCCAACTAAGTTGAACATGAGTAATACAAGTCTTTTCTAAATCGTGTATATCATACAGCCCATGACTTACAGTCATAGCCAGGATCAGAAACACCACAGTTACAGTTGTTTTAAGCTTGTCTCTGACCCCCATTCAGTGTGAGTTATTATTGAGCCTATGGTATGTCTTGGCCATTTTAATGATATAGATGATAATGTTATAATGTAATACATACTAACAGGATAGTTTTTCCCCTTTCTATTCACTGTTTTCTTTTTGTTTTTTTTTTCAAGATGGATCTTATGTAGCCCCGACTCTCCCAGAACTCGTTCTGTAGACCAGGCTGGCCTTGTAAACTCACAGAGATCCACCTGCCTCTGCCTCCTGGGTGCTGGGATCAAGGTTTTTGACACACAGCTGTTCTTGCACTTAATCTAAGTCATAAACTAAGGAAAATGCAAAGTTGACTTTGAAGTGTTACGATAAAGTTTTGTCTGATTCCCATAGGAGTATAGTAGAAAGAGAAATAAATTTTGAGCATTGATTTTTTTAAGTCAGAATACAGGAATACATAGGATTTAGGAACTCAACTGCACAGAAATGAGATTGTATATAGGTGTGGAGTGCCAGACAGAACAACGATGGACCCAGTTAGCTACTTTTCTTGGCTTCCCATAAGGCCTTTAAACTTATAATTTAAAAATGAAAAGAATGGTGCCTGAAGCGATGGGCCAGTAGTTAAGAGAACATTTTGCTTTTGCGGATGACTTGAGTTCAGTACTAGCACCTGTATGATGCTCACAACTGCTGATTTCAGGGCTCCAGCACCTTATTCTGGCCTTTGCTGGTATGAGATCTACAGGCATTACAGACAAGAAGACAAAGCCCTCAAACATATAAAACAACAATGAGTACATCCTTAAAATAGTTTTGTGATGTATCATTGCAGAGAAATACATTCAATAATGAAAGTATGAAGTGCAATGTGAAGCTCCTCAGCTTCCATTTTGAATGACTATTTGAAATATATAGAAGTCTGTTGTGATATACAGTCTTTGAAGGGTCTGGTCGTGTGTCTTTTTTATATTTGCGTCGTTTTTTCCTCTTTCTTTTTTATTTAAATTAGAAACAATCTTGTTTTGCATGTCAATCCCAGTTCCCTCTCCCTCCCCTGCCTCCCCCACCAACTCCCTATTCCATCCCCTTTCTGCTCCCCAGGAAGGGGGGTCTTCAAAGTCTGTTACATCATTTGGAGCAGGACCTAGGCCCTCCCCCATGTGTCTGAGAGAGTGTCCCTCTATGTGAAATGGGCTCCCAAAGAACATTTGTACACTAGGGATAAATACTGATCCATGACCAGAGGTCCCATAAACTGCCCAGGCCTCCTAACTGACACCCACGTTCAGGCAGTCTGGGTCGGTCCTATGCTGGTTTCCCAGCTATCAGTATGGGGTCCATGAGCTCCTCCTTGTTCAGTCAGCTGTTTCTGTGGGTTTCTCCAGCCTGGTCTTGGTCCCTTTGCTCATCACTCCTCCCTCTCTGCAACTGGATTCCTGAAGTTCAGCTCAATGTTTAGCTGTGGGTGTCTGGCTCTGCTTCCATTAGCTACTGGATGAAGGCTCTAAGATGGCATATAAGGTAGTCATCAATCTCATTATAAGGGAAGGTCATTTAAGGTAGCCTCTCCACTATTGCTTAGATTCTTAGTTGGGATCATCCTTGTAGATCTCTAGACATTTCCTTGTATTTCTCTTTAAACCCATAATGACTCCCTCTATTATGGTATCTCTTTTCTTGCTCTCCTCTATTCTTCCCCTGACTCGATATTCCTGCTCCCTCATGTCTTCCTCTCCCCTCCTCTTCTCCCCTTCTCTTTCTCCTAACTCCCTCTCCCCTCCCCCCATGCCTCCAATTTTCTCAGAAGATCTTGTCCTTTACATCTTCTCCTGGGGACCATGTATGTTTCTCTTGGGTCTTCCTTGCTTCCTGGCTTCTCTGGAAGTGCGAATTGTAGGCTGCTACTCCTTTTCTCTATGTCTAATACCCATGTATGAGGGAGTACATACCATGTTTGTCTTCTTGTGACTGGGTTACCTCACTCAGGATGGTTTCTTCTAGTTCTATCCATTTGCCTATTTCAAGATTCCATTGGTTTTATTCCCCCTGCTGAGTAGTACTCCATTGTGTAAATGTACATTTTCTTTATCCATTCTTCAGTTGAGGGGCATCTAGGTTGCTTCCAGGGTGTGGATATTACAAATAATGCTGCTATGAACATAATGGAACAGATGTCCTTATTGTATAAATGTGCATCTTTTGGATATACGCCTAAGAGTGGAATTGCTGGATCTTGAGGTAGGCTGATTTCCATTTTCCTGAGGAATCTGTCTTTGAAGTTGAGGTGTGTTCCTTGTATGCAGCAGAAAGACGGATTCTGTCTTTGTGTCCATTCTGTTAGCCTGTGTCTTCTAAAAGCCAGTTAAGACATTAATACTAAGGGATATTAATGACCATTGATTGTTACTTCTTGTTTGTTTTGGATTTGGTGGTGGTGATGGTGGTATTATGTGTGGATCTCCCCACCCCTCCTTTTTCTTCTTTTTTTATTTAAGTTAGAAACAAGTTTGTTTCACATGTCAATCCCAGCTCCCTCTCCCTCCCCTCCTCCCTGTCCCTCCCCACCAAGCCTCCCCCAGTGCCCCACCCAATCTCCACTCTGATCCCCAGGTAGAGTGAGACCCTCCATGGTGTATTTTCTGAGTCTGTCATGTCATCCAGGGTAGGGACTAGGCCCTCCCACAAGAGTCCAGGCTGAGAGAGCATCCCTCACTGTGGGATGGGCACACAAAGTCTATTTGTATGCCAGGGATAACTACTACCTAAGGCCTCATAGATTACCTAGGCCTCCACACTGATACCCACATTCAGGGGGTCTGGGTCAGTCCCATGCTTTCCACACAGCCATCAATCTAGGCTCCAAGTGCTCCCGCTTGTTCAGGTCAGCTGTTTCTGTGGGTTAAACAGGCACAGTCTTAACTCCTTTGCCCATCAGTTCTCCCTTTCTGACACTGGATTCAGTGTTTAGCTGTGGGTATCTGTCTCTGCTTTCATCAGTCACAGGATGAAGGTTCTGTTTCCCAGACTCACTGGCAATGGGATTGTATGCTGGTGTTCCCCTGATTCATGTCTAAAATCCATAAATGAGTGAGTACATACCATGTTTCTCTTTTTGTGACTGGGTTACCTCACTCAGGATGGTATCTTTTAGTGCCATCCATTTGCCTGCAAATTTCAAAGTTCCATTATTTTTTTCCACTGAATAGTACTCCATTATGTAAATGTACCACGTTTTCTCTATCCACTCTTCAGTTGAGGGACATCTAGGTTGCTTCCAGGGTCTGGATATTACAACTAATGCTGCTATGAACATAATGGAACAGATGTCCTTGTTGTATGAATGTACATCTTTTGGATATATTCCTAAGAGCAGAATTGCTGGGTCTTGTGGTAGACTGATTCCCATTTTCCTGAGGAATCTCCATACTGATTTCCAAAGTGGCTGTACAAATTTACACTCCCACCAGCAGTGGAGGAGTGTTCCCCTTTCTCTATATCCTCTCCAGCATAAACTGTCATTGGAGTTTTTGATTTTAGCCATTCTGACAGGTGTAAGATGGTATCTCAGAGTTGTTTTGATTTGTATTTCCCAGATGGCTAGGGATGTTAAACACTTTCTTAAGTGCCTCTCAGCCATTTTAGACTCCTCTACTGTGAATTCTCTATTTAGTTCTTTACCCCAATTTTTATTGTATCCTTTGGTGTTTTGGAGACTTGCTTCTTGAGTTCTTTGTAAATTTTGGAGAATAGCCCTCTGTCAGATTGGGGTTAGTGAATATCTTTTCCCAACCTGTGGGTTGCCTTTTTGTCTTGCTGACTGTGTCCTTTGCCTTACAGAAGCTTCTCAGTCCCATTTATTAATTGTGGATCTTAGTGTCTGTGCTACTGGAGTTATATTCAAGAAGCGATCTCCTGTACCAATTCATCCACTTTCTCTTCTAACAGGTTCAGTGTGGCTGAATTTATGTTGATGTCTTTGATCCATTTGGATTTAAGTTTTGTGCATGGTGAAAGAAATGGATCTATCTGCAGTCTTCTACTACATGTCAGCCTCCAGTTATGCCAGCACCATTTGTTGAAGATGCTTTCTTTTTTCCATTGTATATTTTAACTTCTTTGTCAAAAAACAGGTGCTCATATATGTATGGGTTAATGTTAGGGTGTTCAATTCAATTCCATTGGTCTATCTGTCTATTTTTGTGCCAATTCCAAACTTTTCAGGACTATAGCTCTGTAATACAGCTTAAAGTCAAGGATGATGATGCCTCAGGATGTTGCCTTGTTGAACAGGGTTGTTTTGGCTATCCTGGGTCTTCTGTTTTCCATGTAAAGTTGAAAATTGTTCTTTCAAGGTCTGTGAAGAATTGTGCTATGATTTTAATGGGGATTGTATATTGCTTTCTGTAAGATTGGCATTATTACTATGTTGATCCTACCTATCCAAGAGTATGGGAGATCTTTCCATTTTCTGGTGTCTTGTTTAATTTCTTTCTTTAAACTCAAAGTTCTTGCAATACAGGTCTTTCACTTGTTTGGTTAGCATTACTCCAAGGTATTTTATGTTGTTTGTTGCTGTTGTAAAGGGTGGTGTTTGTCTGGTTTCTTTCTTGGTCCTTGTATTGTCTGTATATAGTAGGGCTACTGATTTTCTTGAGTTGTTCTTGTATCCTGTCACTTTGCTGAAGGTATTTAACAGCTGCAGGATTTCCCTGGTAGAGTTTTTTGGGTCACTTATGTAAACTATCACATCATCTGCAAATAGTAAAAGTCTGACCTCTTCCTTTCCAATTTGTATCCCTTTGATTTCCTTTTGTTGTCTTATTGCTCTAGCTAGAAATTAAAAGACAATATTGAAAAGGCATGGAGAGAGTGGACAGCCTTGTCTTGTTCCTGATTTTAGAGGAATCATGTTGAGTTTCTGGCCATTTAGTTTGATGTTGGCTGTTGGTTTGCTCTATATAGCTTTTATTATGTTAAGGTAAATTCCTGTTATCCCGGATCTCTCCAAGACATTTATCATGAAGGGGTGTTGGATTTTGTCAAAGGCTTTTTCAGCATCTAGTGAGATGATCATGTGATTTTTGTTTCTCAGCTTGTTTTTATGGTGGATTACGTTGATGGATTTTCGTATGTTGAACCAACCCTGCATCCCTGAGATAAAGTCTACTTGGACATGTTGGATGAGTTCTCTGATGTGTTCTTGGATCCGATTTGCCAGTGTTTTACTGAGTATTTTTGCATCAGTGTTCATGAGGAATATTGGTCTGAAGTTCTCTTTCTCAGTTGTGTCTTTGTGTGGCTTGGGTATCAAGGTTATTAAAGCCTCATAGAAAGAGTTTGGCAAAGACCCTTCTGCTTCTATTGGGTGGAATACTTTGAGAAGAACTGGTATAAGCTGTTCTTTAAATTTTTGGTAGAATTCTGCACTGAGGCCATCTGGCCCTAGGCTTTTTTTTTTTTTTTTTTTTTTTTTTTTTTGGTTGGGAGACTTTTGATGACTGCTCCTATTTCCTTAGGGGTTACAGGCCTATTCAAATTGCTTATCTGTTCTTGTTAATTTTGATAAGTGATACCTATCCAGAAAATTGTCCATTTCATTTAGATTTTCAAATTTTGTGGAGTACAGGTTTTCAAAGTATGGCTTAATGATTCTCTGGATTTCCTCAGTGTCTGTTGTTATGCCCCCCTTTTCATTTCTGAGTTTGTTAATTTGCATGTTCACACTCTGATATTTTGTAAGTTTGGATAAAGGTTTTGTCTATCTTGTTGATTTTCTCAAAGAACCTACTCTTCGTTACATTGATTTTTTTTTGTATTGTTTTCCTAGTTTCGGCTTTATTGATTTCAGCCCTCAATCTGATTATTTCCTGGCGTCTACTCCTCCTAGGTGAGTTTACTTTTTTTATGTTCTAGAGCTTTCAGTTGTGCTGTTAATTCTCTAGTGTAACTATTCTCCAGTTTCTTCATGTGGGCACTATAATGAACTTCCCTCGTAGCACTGCTTTCAAATTGTCACATAAGTTTGGGTATGTTGTGTCTTCATTCTCATTGAATTCTAGGAAGTCTTTAGTTTCTTTTTTTATTTCTTCTTTGACCCAGGAATGTTGCAACTGTGCATTATTCAATTGCCGTGAGTTTGTAGGGTTTCTGCAATTTGTGTTGTTGAATTCTAATTTTAATGCATGGTAGTCTGATAAGGTACATAGAATTTTTCTTGTACCTGTTGAGTTTTGATATTTTGCTAAATGTGTGGTCAATTTTTGAGAAGGTTCGATGTGGCGATGAGAAGAAGGTGTATTCTTTTTTATTTGGATGGAATATTCTATAGATACCTGTTAATCCCAATTGGTCATAACTTCTCTTAGTTCCTTTACTTGTTTGTTAAATTTCTGTCTGATACTCCTATCTAGTGGTGAGAGTGGGCTGTTAAAGTCTCCCACTATAAGTGTGTGGGGCTTTACATGTGATTTTAGTTTTAGTAATGTTTCTTTTTATGAACATAGATGCCTTTGTATTTGGGGCATAGATGTTCAGAACTGAAACTTCATCCTGGTGGATTTCTCCTGTGATGAGTATGAAATGCCCTCCTCCATCTCTTTTGATTGATTTTATTTTAAAATCTTATTTGGTAGATATTAGGATTGCTACCCCCGCTTGTTTCTTGGGTCCATTTGATTGGAAAATCTTTTCCCAACCCTTAACTCTGAGGTAATGTCTGTCTTTGAGGATGATGTGTGTTTCTTGTATGCAGCAGAAGGATGAGTTCTGTGTTCGAATCCATTCTGTTAGCTGGTATCTTTTTATGGGTGAGTTAAGACCATTAATATTGAGGGATATTAATGACCATTGATTGTTCATTCTTATTTGTTTGGAATAGTTGATGGTGGTGGAATTATATGTGAATTTCCACCTCTTTTTTCTTTTGGCTGTTGGTAAGATGGGCTTATCTATTGCCTATGTTTTTCTGGTTGTAGTTAACTCCCTTCAGTTGGAGCTTTCCTTCCAGAACTTTCTTTAGGGCTCGTTAGTGGATATGAATTGTTTGAATCTGGTTTTGTCATGGAATATCTTGTTTTCTCCATCTATAGTGATTGAAAGCCTTTCTGGGTATAGTAGTCTGGGCTGGCATCTGTGGTCTCTTGGTGTTGGCATTTTGGCTTTCAGAGATTCCATAGAGAAGTCAGGTGTAATTCTGATAGGTTTGGTTTTATATGCTACTTGGCTTTTTTCCTTTGCTGCTCTTAGTATTATTTATTTATTCTGTATGTTTGGTGTTTTGATTATTATGTGGTGAGGGGACTTTTTTTGGTCCACTCTATTTAGTGTTCTGTAAGCTTCTTGTACTTTTATTGGCATGTCTTTCTTTAGGTTGGGAAAGTTTTCTTCTATGACTTTGTTTAATATGTTTTCTGCACCATTGAGATGGGTTTCTTCACCTTCTTCTACATCTATTATTCTTAGGTTTGGCCTTTTCATGGTGTCCCATATTTCCTGGTTATTTTGTGTTAGGGATTTGTTGGACTTAAGATTTTCTTTGGTTGATGAAACTATTTCTCCTAGTTTATCTTCAAGGCCTGAGATTCTCTCTTCTATCTCTTGTATTCTATTGGTTATGCTTTCATCTGTAGTTCCTGATCATTTACCCAGCATTTCTATTTCCAGCATTCCCTCAGAGTGTGGTTTGTTTTTTTGTTTGTTTGTTTGTTTTGATTTGTTTTTTGTCTCTATTTCAGCTTTCAAGTCTTGCACTGTTTGAATTGTTTCCTTCACTTTTTTGGTTGTTTTTTCTTGACTTTCCTTGTTTTCTTCAAGAGATTTGTTTATTTCTTGCAAGTTTTCATTTGTCTTTTCCTCCATTTGTTGAATTTTTGTTGTTGTTTTTTCTTTCATTTCGTTAAGAGATTTTCTCATTTCCTCTTTTAAGGTCTCTATAATCATCATAAAGTTGTTTTTAGGGTCATTCTCTTCTGCTTTGTCTGTGTTGGGATGTTTAGGTCTTGCTGGTGTGGAGTCCCTAGACTCTAGTGGTATCATATTGGTCTTTCTGCTGTTGAGTGTGTTCTTGTACTGTCATCTTCCCATAACTTCTTCCACTGGGTGCCCCTGGGGTCTCTCCCTCTCCTGGTGGGTACTGGCCCAAGGTTCTCTTCTGGTGGGTGCAAGTAGGTCCAATATTCGATGGCTCTCCTCTTCCCATGGGTGAAGCAGGACTGGCACTTGGATGTCGCCAAACTCTGAATGGCCTGGTCCACTGTCCACAGACCCCAGGCCTCAAGAGGCACTGAGCCTATTTGTATCCTTTTTATTATAACATTTAAAATAAAATAAAAAGAATGGAGAAAAAAACCTTCAAAATAATCATAGTGGGTACTTTGTGGGAACACACTGTAGGAAGCCATGCTCTCTAGAATTTACCCAAGTGGGTCAGTTAAGGAAAATAAACTAGAAGAAAAGCAAATAAAACTATCAACAGCAACAATTTGAGGAAAGTGAGGAGAGTGGGTTCCACCTCCAGAATTGCTGCAATCATCACACAAAACAAAACCAGGGAAGCACAGAATGGGGGGGGGGAGATGTATCAGGCAACAGATAGAAAGTGATTCTCAAGTAGTTCCTATTTGGACTTATCAAGAACATCTAAGAAACTATTCAACAAACTAAAGGAAATTATGTTTAAAGAATTCAAGGAACATACTGTAGTAATCATTAATCAACTAGAGAAAATCACTAAGGAAACAAGTTATAAAACAATTTCAGATCTGGGGTAGAAAAAGCATAGCAACTGAATGAAAAGCTTGCTAGACAGAATCAGCAGGTCTAATCTGGAGGAAGATCCATGGAACAGGAAGATGGTTCAATGAACATTAACTGGTCTGGAGGACTAGGACCCACACAGTAGAAGGAGCCAACTCCCGGTAGTTATCTTTTGACCTCTGTCTGTGTACCATGAAACACACAACACAGGCAGATAGGCAGACACAGACACACAAACATACATGCACACAAAAATAAACAAATATAACTTAAATCTTGCTAAAAATCAGGATGGAAAAGAAAAGACTGTACAGAGATTGAGATTGTTAGGAAATGGGAGGATCAGGCTCAACAGTATAATGTAATAAACATTAGAAATGCCTGAATTTCTAAAAGCAGACTCAAAGCATGTTGAACATGTTGGTAAATCTATAGAAACAACTTAACTTAAAAAAAACAGTAGTGATTAAAAACTGGGTCTCTTTCAAGCACCATCAAGTAGTATTTTTGTCAGGTGTAATGATGCATGTCTTTAATCCCAGCATTTGGCAGTCAGAGGCAGGCAGATCTCTGGCAGTTCAAGGCCAGCCTCATCTACAAAGTAATTTCCAGGCCAGGCAGGACTACACAGTTAGACCCAGTCTCAAAATAAGTGGTAGGATTTAATAATTTATCTTTTTCATATAGCATAAAATGGGCAGTATCACTGGAGAACTATGTGAGATATTTAAAGCAAAGGCAGTGCCAACATTACAATCACTCTTTGAAATAGCAAAAGTAACTCGCACTTATCCTATGAGGCCAGTATCATTCTGAGTCCCAAACAAGAGGCATCAAAAAACACACAGTATTTCTCTTTGAATCTAGACACACAAATCCTCAATGAATGGCAAACTAAATCCAGTAACAAATAAAAGTCTCATGTAGCATAATCAATTGGAATTTATCTGAGTAACACAAGATTGAGTTAACTTCCAAAAGTCAAAATAATATTCTGTATTAGAACGAGTGTATATTAAAAAGAGATTTTTTTAGATTGTATAATACAACACAGCTGGAGTAGTCTGGCGTTGGTTGTCTCACACTGGAGAGGCTGAGAACCAGTAGTTATTCCTTCATAGGCCTCAGGACACCCAGTCTGGTGCTGAAGACGGTGGGGAGTCACTGGTCCTCACTCATTTGTTACCTTGAAGAAACTGACTCTAATATCAGTGAAGAAATGCAGCAGCAACTGAATAAATGACCGGCCAGTGAGAGTGAAGGCGAGGAGGCAAGAACACAATTGTTCTTCCATTTCCCTTTCATGTGGGCTGACACTGAGAAGTTCCACCCACATTTAGGATGGGCCTTTCCAGTTCCAGTAATGATCAAGAAACTCTCTCGCAGCAGGGCCCAGTGACTTGCCTTTTAGTCAGTTCCAGATCCAATCAATTCAGTGACCAAGATTAACTCTCACATATATCACATTAAATAAATGAGGTAGAAAACTTACGTGAGTAATCTTAATTGATACTAAATCATCCATCTATATATGATTTAAAAAAACTTTCAAAATGAGAATAGGAAAAGTTATCTCATCCCGATAAAGGATAGCTATCAAAAGCCTATAGCTAATGTCCAACAAAATGGTATATGTACATAAAGGAGATGGGTAACTTGGTCAAAAGATGGGCATACGCAGAGAGCTTTGAATGATTAACTGATAAAAAGTGGGACTAAGTGGTCAGTTAAAATTGGAGAGTGGACCGACAGCCTCCAAAACGATACAGAGAAACACTGTCTCATAAAACCAAAAAAAAAAAAAAATGGAGAGTGGAGCAAACAGAGATACAGTTGCCCCCTGCCAGTGAAGATGAAACCCCAGAGGGAGCACAGCCCACTCAGAAAAGACTGAGAGAAAAGGAAAGAGGATTGTGGGTGAAACATTAGAGCTAACTCCATTCAAGGAGCAGTAAAGGGTGGTGGCGTGCACCTTTAATCCCAGCACTGGGGAGGCAGAGGCAGGCGGATCTCACAGGCGGAGAGGCAGACACTGTGACCCGGTCACTGCTCCATGGAGAACAGTCTCCACGGTCATTATCCTTTCCCCTCTACCAACAGTGCTCTCTTTTCCAGGAACATGACAGAAATCCTCCTAAATTCTCAACACCTGGAGTACTTCCGGGAGTTCCTCAAAGAGCGGAAGGCTGAAACCCCGTTGGACTTCCTGATCGCCTTACAGAAGACCATGATGGAGACCAATGAAAAGTCTTATAAGGCTTCTTTGGAAAGTATGACCAAGACTTACTTCCACGGCAAGATCCCTCCTGGTATGCCTCTGTTCCTCCCGATTCTCGCTTCAGTTTCTTGGGAGGAAAAGTCTAGAAAATAGCCTAGCTCCACGAGAACCCCAAGAGAGCAGAACAGGGGAATCGCGACATGGGGCCAGTGTTGAGACTGAGAATGGATGCAGAGAACAGTGTTAAGCCCGACACCATAATGTTAGTGAAAGGAGCCACGTGTAAGATACATTCATATACACGCTCATTAATTTCACTTCATGTTGGAAATAGAAACTTACTCCCTGTAAGGTAGGAACAAAGAGCTGAGTTTTCTAAACAAAGAAAGTAGAACCCATTGAAGTGAACTAGCTTATCCGATTTGTGGGACTTTAGCACAGATTCAAATTACTTGATCATCATATCAGCTAGCATGGGGCTAGCTCTAAGCGAACCGGCAGTCCTCTCCACGCACAGATGTGAAAAGCTGAGCTGGGGTGGAGAATGATCTGGAAATCGCTCATAAACTGTCTTGTTTTCCTATCTGAAGTGGTGGCAAACTCGGCCCACGGAAATTCCCCTTAGCTGGTGATTACAATTAAGTATTGGCTCATAGCTCCACAAAAGGGGGTGAGCAAGTGCCCCCTGGAGGCCAGGGGTAAAACTGAGAGCTTTGTGTCTATCATGGAGGAGCAGGTGGAGTTTGCATAGGTGGGGAGAGGCTTGTTTGTTTGCTGGTTTTTATTTGTTTGTTTGCTTGCTTTGGTTTTGTTCATAGTTATCCAAGACAAGGGTGTAAATAGAAAAAGTTTAAAATTAGCAAGTCTCTTTAGTTCATTTGTTTGTTTTGAAACAGGGTATTGCCACATATTCCAGACAGGCCTGAAGCTTATTATGTAGCCCAGACTGGCCTGAAACTCTCACAGCTCCCACTTCTGCCTGCCACTTGTTACAGAAGTGGCACGCCACAGTTTGTCGGTGCATTCAAATTCGGTAATAATGAACCCAGAATCACCGATACTGCATAGTGTCACGGTGAGGAATTAACAAGAAATTAAAAAGCACTTACCCGTGGTGTAACTTAAACAAGAGGGAGCCAAGATTTGAATTCTCTAATTGTTCCCTGTGTCTTCTATCCTCCTCTCCCTGTCTGAGTCTGAATCTGTGCCTGCCTGCATGCTGTCTTCTGAGTCTCTCCTGCTGTCTGTGTCTGTGTGTTCCTGTGTGTGTGTCCCTAGAAAAGGTCTTTGCTCTCTTATTACATAGCACAGAGAGCACCACGTGGGGGGAAGGAATGGGGTATTTTACCAAAATGTTTAACAGTCTTCAAGTGATGGAGTCACTGATTCCAACTGGGCCCAGCTGACCCACATAATAAGTAATCCAACACTATCAAGCAATATCCATACATTGCTCCAACATTTATAGTGGACATTCGGTTTATAAAGCTGGTTTGGTCCTACTTTTCTGTCCTCAGTGAATGATTATCATAACATGCATACACACATGCACTAATCTTGGGACAGGGCATGAAGAGCACACGTTTAAGGTTGCAGCTCTGTATTAGTGTCCCTCGTTAAAGCCTAAGGCAAGGGAAGTTAGTTGTTACACTGTTCTCCTAAGGCCAGGTTAAGGACCTAAGTACACAGTAGTCTTAAGCCTTAAGTGACCTCGAGGTACATTGTTAACTCTGACTGTGCTGTCCAGCCACGGTTCCTGTCTCTTAAAATGGAAGAGATATTTTTATCATAATACATTGCCATATATGGGAAATACTTACTTGCTGATTTTTCAGTGTGAATTCTATATAAAGTTGTGGAGGGGGAGTCTAGCACCCAGATGTTCCTCTGATGTGTTTTCAGGTCTTGTTAACAAACCTTCTGATCTCTGAACAGGAGAAGCCCCATGCCACACTCACAGCACCGAGATTCGTGTCTTGGACTCTCCTTTTGCTCCCAAAGATTGTGTTTCACCCCTTTCCTCCAAAGTCTCCCCCTAAACTGAGAAACTTCACCCCAGCTCCAGAAGCGAGTTTAAAATTTAAGATTTTGTGTCCCTTTAAGCTTTCATCTTTGAAATGGAACTAAGAAAAATAGTATTTTGACTACAAAAACAATTTCCCGTAACATTTGAAATATCCTTTAGAGACCTGCAAGTTGTAGAAGGCTCAGAGTGAGAACAGGGGGCCATGAGACTATCACATGGAGCCACTAAGCAGCAGACAGAAATGACGCTGCCCCTCTGTGTGTGTGTGTCTCTCTCTCTCGGCCCCTCCCCCTCTCTGGTCATTTAGAGGAAATGCTGCAATGCGATGCTCCTCTTATCAAAGAAGTTGTTCACATGCGTCACATCACCAACACCACACTGCTGTTGCTTCAGGGCCACGTGATGAAATCTCTGGAAGAAAAGTGGTGAGCATGCTTCTGGAGTTGCTTTCTGGCTTTGAAAAAGCATATTAAACAAAGGTCTCCTAGTCTTCATAGTGTACTGACAGAACCCTCCAAAGAAACACCAAAGTTACTTTGAAATCTCCTGCCTACCAACACCAGTACAACACACACACACACACTCATACATACACACACACACATATATACAGACGCAAACACCTATACATGAACATATATACACATGCACACATAGACAACACACTCAAATATACATACACACAAGCACATATAGACAAACATACACACAGGTTAAGGAAGAATACAGTGTTGAGAAGACTAGCTGACTTTATATAAGAATTCAGATAGCAAGAAGACTATAGAAACTGATTTTGAAACAAGGCTATCTTGCTGTGTTTCATGCACCATGGTTTTGTATTTGATATTCTTGGTCTCCTTTCTGGTAGGTTTAAAGAATACCAAGACATGTTCCCACCACGTCCTGTGGAAGTTGAACTTGAAACACAGTTTCTCCCCAGGAAACCCTCAAAGTCAGCAATACACCTACAGGAATCCCAGGTCAGTGAGGAGGAAGAGAAAATGACATTACAGACAGGAAGGCCATTGTCTAGACTTTATAGGCTATACAAAAGATTATCCCTGTTAGGCCATTTGATATGTCACTGGAAGACTTACTCTTGGGTGTGGGGGTTGTGTTTTAAGCCCCATTTACAAAAGGATAATCTGAGACTCAGAAGAAAACATACTGGGAAATCCTTTTCTGATCTGCCTCTGTCACCAACTAAGTGACAGGCACAAGGGTTAGATACATGGAAAGGAAACTGTCAAGTTTTTTTGCTGCCCATGCTTATTTGGAGGGTGTGGATTGGCCATTAGGCAAAATGGTTTGCTAATCTTTCTGCACCAAGATTAGTCTGATCTGCACATCCAGTCACTGGCAATGTAAGCCTCCCCTTTCAGAGGCCTAGAAACAAGTATCCCACAGGCCAGTAAGTCCCAGAGACACATTTGTCAGTGGTTGGCACAAGAACGCCACTTCCTTCTCCCAAGCACAGTTACCCTCTCACCCTGTGTCCTGTGGGAAGAGAGAACAGGGGAAGGGTCCTCAGAGAAGTCTTTTCATGTGGTTTGGGAAAGCACATATGCTCCTTGACTGAGCACATTGAGTTGGTTAAACAGAAAAGTTTGAGCCTGATACTATCGGACTCCAAAGTTTAAGTTAAGATATAGCTGGAAATAAGATTTAACCCCAATACTGTAGACATGAAAACATGCTACTCTTTTTCCCTCTCCACTCCCTCTGTTTATGAGCCAGATCTGGCAGGGCACCACAAATAATTGGATGTTTGAAAGAATATATGCAGAACCAGAGAGTTCTGTTTCAATTTCAGCCCTTCTAGGTCAGACAGAAAGAAACCAAATGTTCTTACCACCTTCTGTGGGCCACACACTTCGGTATACACACTAAGGCTCACCACAACCCTGAAGGCTACTAGTTTTGTCTTACACAAAGTAAATTGTCTTGCACAAGTAAATTGATCCAAATTGCATATCTATGGAGAAGCTATGTTCTACTGGAAGAGTTTCTAGCCCCCAAATCTAGTGCAATTGAGACCTTCACCACTGGCTCCCTGGAACTGCATTGGAGTGGGCACTCTCACTAATAAGATGCTTTTTGGCTCAGTGTATCAAATTTTCTAGAGGCAAAAGAACTGGAGAATGGTTTCTCTGTACCTAGTAAAGGAGTGCAGAAATGGAACGCATTTGCTTGTGTGGGGGAGGAGGAACAAGTGGGGGAGTGCTGGCTCTTGCTGCTGGAAGACCGTGAGGTGGAATGAGTTTGAGTCAAGGCTCTATGATGACTGAAGCTGGGCTCTTCTAGTCACCAACTACTTGATCTGAGGCAGACTGACTTGAGTTTCCTCACTTTCCAAATGGGAGCTCAAAAAGTATTCCTTTGTAGAAGTGAGGATTCTAAATGTAACCAGTAGCAGGTTTTTGGCACAGTAGCTCTTGGCTAACAGAAGAAGCCATGCTAATGGAGGTTTGTGACACATAGTATGTTCTTGGTCAACAGCAGCCATCCTAATGGATATGCTTTCCTTCCCCAGAATAAAGGATGGATGAAAATGATCTGCTTCATCAAGAGTTTTTGCAATTACCGCAGATTCATGGCAAATCCCAAGAAACGCCAACAGTTTATAGATTTCATCCATCTGGAAATGTACAACACCAAGGAGAGTGAGTCACTCCCCTGCCATCATGGTCAGCCCACCTGAGAGTTCAAGCTATTGACTTTGTGTCAGGCTTGCATTAGCCCTAGTGAACAAGGACTACTGGACCTGGGTGGCCAGCCCTGCCCAGACCTGCCTGACCTGCCTTGGACAGTGGTGCTTCTCAAAGGGCCAGCAAGTGTGGAAAATATGAAGGCCCTTAGAAAGCTCACAGTTTGAATATATAATATTTTTATTAATTCTTTGAGAATTTTATACATGCATACAATATATTTTGATCATTAGCCTCTTGCTAATTCCGCTCAGATCCACTCCCCTCGTCTCTGCCCCCTCCCCAGCTTCACGTTCTTTGTGTTTTTACAACCCACTAAATCCAATTTGTGCTGCTCATGTGTTCTTGCTGCCATCCACTATGGCGTGGCCATCTTACCAGAGAGGACTCACTTTTTATACAAATATTTCCTTATGCTGTTTTATGTGGTCTTCAAAATGTCTTTAACATTTTCCTGTCTATATAAATAATACCTGTTATTAATAAAGAGGCAACAAAATTCCAAGAACATGAAAATCTTTAGAGATAACATCGCCAATGCTTTGAAGCCTACATTCTGATTTATATATGCATACACATATATAAACTTTCCATTTATAACTTACCTTTTTCATTAGTATTTTATATTGAACATCGCTTTCTGTCAGTACACCTCTGTCTGTCCAGCTTTTGACTGGCATAAAGTGTCCATTTATAGATTTATTCAACTGATTTATTCATTAATTCCTTCATTCATGACCATTGCTAAGAATGCTTTAGGGTGTGTACTTCATCATGTGCTGAGATTTTGGTGGTAATGATCATACCTACCACTTCTACTTGAATGAGTGGAAGGTAACTGTGTCCCTCCATGTTCTCATCTGTAGAAAGTGTGCCTCCATTTCCTTGTCTATAGAATAGGAATAACCATCCTTACCTGGAGCTGTTGTGAAGCTTAAGTGTGATAACTTAGGGATCTTCGAACTACGCTTAGCAGTATTTCACAACAGAATAGTTAACCAGTCTACTGTCACTGGTTGTGAGTGTGATGAGTGGCTTCAATAATGGTTGTAGATGGACCTTGGTTAGCACTAGCAATGGTCAGGGAAGAACTCTCCCAAAGACATAACATGAGGTTGGGTTTTCAGGAGTGAGCACATTAGGCGGGTGCGACAGGAGGGAAGAGTATGCACAGGACCTTAAGATAAGAGGGAGGGTGGTACAACCTAGAACTTCGGACTGCTTGGACTAGAGCTGAGGTAGGGCAGGTACCTGAGATGATGTGGGCGAAACTGGCAGTGACAGATCACATGATCTTCTGAGTTATTCTAACATTCTCTCAGACGCACACTGCTTCTACAAAAGAAATACCTTTAAAAACCTCTGCACTAATTTATACTCCTGTTAAGACTATTAACCGGGGTTTAAGTCTTCATATTCTCACCAGCACAGACTATAGTGTATTTTTAAAATTCTAACCCTAACTCTTCTTTGAGTACCCACCTTGGTGCTCTCTGCCTGTGGCACTATGATCTGAGTTGCTTAGAGTCCCTGTCATGCTGCTGTCTGTCTCTCTACCCACTCAAGGTGCTAATAGATCTCTTAATAAACATCTAGCCCTCAACAATCTGTCTCAGTGGCCCCCTGGGACCCTACATTCAAGATCTTTCATTCTTTGCTTTAATTTTCTATTTTTTCCCTTTAACAAACTTTTCTTTGGTTATGATGTTTGTTTTTCAAATTCCCTCCTAGATGACAACCCTTGATTCCTCCTTGATAAACTCTGAGTAACTATCGATCAGAACCACACTCCCATTAGAAAAGTCGAGCCTGCATGCACAGTTTTTACTGTCTCTGCAGAAGCCTTGTGGATTAGCATGGTCATAGCCATGATTGTTTCTAGTAGGCAAGTGCCGTGAAAACAGCCCTCAACACTCAATTTCTCTTGTAATTAATTTGTTTATTAATTATCTTTCGATACGAGTGCTGTCACACACCTGAGCAGGTGACTTCTTCAGCAGTCATTCCGGTATGAGTAAGAGGCTGCACCCAGGCATAGGGCATGACACTTGTAGCAGGTACAAAACTTGAGTCCACAGTGGTCACACCCAGGGTGAAGGTTGAGGACCTGAGAGAAACTGATCAAACCAGGTATTAATTCCTTGTTGTTTCTTTGCTAGATTTCTCTGCGTCACCCACCACCCCACCAATACGTCACACCCCAATATCCCCTAGTGCCCGGAGCACAGAACAAGAAAATGGAGAAATGGTCCTTATGAAACGCCGGATATTTGGCCACAGAGTTATCATTGTCAACTTTGCCGTTAATGATCTATATTTCTTTTCTGAAATGGAGAAGTAAGTTCCCATCTTTCTTTCTTCCCGTAGCTTTCACATTTAAAACTTCCCAGCAGGGGCTGGGGAGATACCTTCCAAGCATAAGCACGAAGACTGATGGGGTGTGGTGAGGGGAAACTGGGCTCAGCAGGGCAGATCTATAATTCTAGTACTGAGAAGACAGAGACCAGATGTTCCCTGGGGCCAACTCCAGGTTCAGTGGAAGACTACATCAAAAACTAAGGCAGAGAGTGATGAAGTTGTGAGATCTCTCTCTCTCTCTCTCTCTCTCTCTCTCTCTCACACACACACACACACACACACACACACACACACACACACCTCCCAGCAAAAGGTGCCTTGACGCATCAGAGCCACAGTGATTGACATGTGAGAAGCCCAGTGATTTAGCTCTGTCAGAGAAGACGTCCTGAAAAATCTCTTGAACTCCTGTCACTCTCAGTTTCCACCCTTCCTTGGGCCCTAAGGGTCTCTTTCTTCAAGGTTATAATGCAGTTAGGCATTGACAGTAAATGGTGTTTTTTTCTCTATTTATAAATATAAAAGAAGTTGTCTCATGTTACTCATGTAACACCCATGGACCAAGAGTTCTTCACTTAAAAGCAGAGACTGTTATAAGAGAAACTCTGTGTGTGTGTGTGTGTGTGTGTGTGTGTGTGTGTGTGTGTGTGTGTGTGCTCGTGCATGCACATGTAAACTCCATTTAGTAGATATTTTAAGTCAGGTGTGCTAATGCATATTCACTTACCTGCCAACTTTCAAATTTAAAGTCAACCTACTAATAGTCAATCCATGCATTTTTCTTGTATGAAGTCTAAATTATGCTCCAAATACTGTCGACCAATTTTATTTTCAATTTTTAGAAGTAGAAAAAGGGCTGGAGAGATAGCTTAGGCTTTAAGGGCCAGACTTACAGCCAAAAATACAAAACTGGAATGAAAATGTAAAGATCACTCTAAAACAACTTAGGATTTCTGGAATTTGTTTGTTCATGTCTGTTTTCAGGGGCAAGATCTCACTCAGGGCCATACCCATGCAAGGCAAGAGCTGAAGAACTGAGTTTTACTCCTGGTTAACTCCTTCTACTTTTCAGATTAACTTTTTCAATTATTTAAATTTCCTTTGCTATACTAAGCTATAATACTTGTCTTTGTTACCACATTTGAGAGAATCTTCACTCTCTCCTTGTTTCCCCCCTACCCTCTCTCTTTCCTTCTTGTTCTCTCTGACTGGTCTGACTCTGTAGCCCAGGTTGACCTGAACGTAAGACTCCCCCATTTTTCCAAGATTTCAGTTACAGGTGCACACCAGCGTGCCCTGCTCTAGTTTATTTTCCTAGAAACAATAAATATTTTTTTCTTTTTACATTCTGCTCTGTTATGTGGATGAGCTAAAGCTTAGAGTAAAAAGTACGACAGAGCAAAATATTTGGAAAGAAAATCAGAAACTCCTTGAAAACATCTCCATTGGGAGAAGTGTAAGAGTGACTTAAAGGTGACCCCCCTAATCTATGCTAACCGTGACAGGGATGCCAGTTAATATGACTCTCAGAAATGTAGAATGTCTGGTTTTCATGCATTGGGGGAGTTTGACAAATCCCACTCCACGGAGTGATTTCTAAACACGTTCACTGATTGTCTCCTCCTTATTGAGCACAGGCTGTCATCATAGACATGTATGTCTATCAGCCTACAGATTCAGGATGCATCCTGGGCACACATAGAAGGTGGGGAAGTCTCTTGTGATGACAGGCATTAGATAAATTTGGGCATGGGGACTATAGCTAAACAACTGGGTGCCCTCAGGCACATTGTCTTGGTCCTGGAGCGGACCTGGACCAGCCTTATCAGGGTTCCAAACAGGGTCCCCAGGGAGAGGACCAAGGATGAGAGAGAAATAAAGAGATAATGAGGGGAGCTAGGCTCACAGGGGTAGGGGGGCTGCTTCAGAGGCTGACCCAAGTCAGCAAATGTATTAATGGCACAGCTCGTTTTTATATTCCCTCAAACGGGGAAGCGAAAACCAAGTCAGTCAAGATCATTCATTAGACAGCAGAATTGCAGGGAGCCCAGAATATCTCAGTTTCCTCTTGAGCAAGCTACATTCTGGGGTAGCAAACAAAGCATTTTACATCTCAGTGTCTAGAACATCTGACTACATACATACCAGGGAACTGTCAAGCCTGGACTATGTGTAGGGAAAAAGGACCAGCCAAAAAAACACACTCTGACCAGAGCCAAAGAAACACACTTTGGCCCTGCAACCAGAACCAAAGAAATGTACCCTGACCCTGAAACCAATGCTAAAGAAACACAGTTTGTTCCTAGAATCGGAGCCAGTGAAAGAAATACACCCTGGTCCTAAAAGTAGAGCCAAAAGACTAAAAAGGACCAGAGAAAGAAACACACTTTGGTCCTGAAACCAGAGCCAAATCTGACCCTAACCCTGTTCAGAAAACTAACCAATCCCTGAGCAGGAGATCTAAACTCAGGGATTGCAATCTGACCATTCTCCACCCTGGAAAACTCCACCACCTTAAGAAGCCCTATGTCTGTTCGCCTTGTGGCTGTTCTTGCTACCTGGCTGTCCTCTGCCTCTGTGGCAGAGGGCAACCACTCTCCTGGATTCTACCCCCCCCCAATAAACCCCTTCTTTTACGGTGGAGCAGAGACGACCCTGGGCAGAGCAGAGCAAGCAGGCCTGTAATAACACTTTTGCTGGGGAAACCTTCCCCTGGCAGAGCTGAGTTGTTACACTCAGCTGTCCACCAAGCAGAGCTGACCTGTAGCAATTTAGCCCCGCAGCAAAACTGCTACACTGGGCAAACATCCCCAGCTGGAAGGTCCTCTCCTGCCGGAGCAGAGCGGATTCACTGGGGAAGCCTTTCCCGGAGGCAGGGCTATAAGCTGCTATGCTTACTGGGGTCTGTGGTAGTACTTGGCTCCCGAGCTCCAGGATACCTTTCCATCTGAGCTATATAACACTCAGTATTCTGTGGCTCCTGAGCTCTAGGATACCTTTCCATCTGAGCTGTGTAACACTTAGTATTCTGTGGCTCCTGAGCTCTAGGATACCTTTCCATCTGAGCTGTGTAACACTTAGTATTCTGTGACATCCGAGTGCCAGAATACCTGTCCCATCCGATCCGCCCAAAATGCCAACACTATGTATGCCCTCCCAACTCCAAGGCCCTGGTGCCAGACCATAGCCTGCATTGTCTGGTAGGACTCTGGCTAGGTGATGAGCAAGATATCTACTATCATCAGCAGGCCTTTCTGGCTGTCTCCAGCCTGAGCTAGCTTCCAACATGGAGGCAAGAGACAGGCTGAACTGTGAAGGATGGGTGGGGTTAATGAGATAACAACGCTGTTAAGGAAAGCCATGGGAAGTGAAGAGAGAGAGAACAGTTGCTCCTATTATCTCCCCCATCCTCTCTGCTTCCTTGCTTCCTTCTGCAAACTAGTCTTTGTAAAACAGTGGTTCTCAACCTGTGAGTCTCACCCCTATAGGGGTTGCATACAGATATTTACATTGTAATTTCCTAAGAGCAGCAAAATTACAGCTATGAAGTAACAACAAAAATAATTTTATGGTTGGGGATCACCACAACATGAGGGAGGAACTGTATTAAAGGGTCACAGCAATAGGAAGGTTGAGGACCACTGTTGTAGAGCAACCAGAGACACCTATGAAAGTATGAAACCAATGGTTACTCTTCTGCTGGTAATGCTCTGGTGACTCCCCGTCACCAGTGAGGTGCCATCTCAGCCAAAGGTGCTCCACACCAGGGGAATCTACCTGCATCTCCAGGCTGGCCTCCAGCCTGCACAGAAGGGCGCCAGCAGAAGAGCCCTGAGTTCTTGATTTGGTCATAGGTAAGACATTCTTCCAGACTAGGAGGGGTCCATGAAATAAAGAAGGTGTGGAGGCGGGGATTATGGTGAAGAAACATGCTAGACAGAGTGCTTGACATATGACCTGATGTGTGGTCTGTGCTCGGTCTTTGCTAATGGAAGTCTTGAGATTGAGTGAATGACATCACAATCTGCAATCTGTCTCAGAAACAGCCCTACCCTTTTTTTTTTTCTTTGCCAGAAACATGTTTGAGCCAGGCCCCCTAGCCAGCACCTGCTCTCATCTTCTCTGGTTGATTTCTTCCGTATGCCTCCCTCTCTTGTAGATTTAATGACCTGGTGAGTTCAGCTCGTGTGCTGCAGATGAACAGAGCATACAACGAGAATGACATCATCCTGATGCGGTCTAAACTGAACATTATTCTAAAGCTTTACCTGATTTCAGATGTCCCTCCAAAGCTGAGGGTAAGGAGTCTCCAGCTGTACTGTGACCCTTCCTTTCTCCCATAAAAAAAACCTAAAACTCAGTCACCTGGTGCCTCTTAAGTCCTGGGTCAACAAGATGCCCATTGCCTGGAAAATCTACAGGAAACTCTGCCTCCTAGAGAGGTGGTGTTTCAGGGGATGATAAGGATCAAGAGAAGTCATTTTCCTTTCCCAGAGCCTCTAACAGTGACATGCTCCCATCCTATGTGTAGGTGAACATCTCTGAGTCCCAGAAGGATATCATTTTTGCTGCCATTACAGAAGGCCACCTAGACCGGACCATCTTCCACGGGGCTATCATGTCCATCTTCCCTGTCATTATGTACTTCTGGAAAAGGTATGTAAATCATCTTACCCAGTGACGACCAAGTCTTTCTGTATCCTACAATTTCAAGGTCTATGAGGAACCAAGACGGCTGCTCTTACCCTACCCACTACACTCTGCCCTGCTCTGAGCTAAGGACGGACAGAAGAGAACAACACCAGAATGTGCCTCACCCCTCCTTTCCTTGTGTCTTCTTGGATCAGGGGCATGGGATGTACTTAAGCCCAGACTTTCCCACCAGCATGAAGTAGACCCCAGTTCCCGAAGGACAAAGTCCGTCAAGGCAGGAACTGTCTCTGATCGCCTAGTGGAGCAAGCAGGCCAAAGCAGCTGCCGCTCTATCCGATTCTCATAATCACCACTGAGGCACAGCTCCTTGGAGAAAAGTCTGATATTCAGTTTTACGTCACCTCTCTCCCAAAATTCAAGTGACAAATGTATCTGTTAGCTCAAAATGAAAACATGACAAGGAGTCAATGAGGACCAAAATTCAAAACTTAAATGAAATATCTACAGACTAATTGCAACCTGTGCCCCTGGTTCATAACCTGTCCTGCCAAGAGTTGTGCCCAGAGTCTGGCCTGAGATGTCTCAGCTGACTGTCAACTTTGATATTCTATCAGAGCAGCCTCAATGGCACCAGAGTTGGCCAAAATTTTCCTAGGGAAGATATCTTAGTTAAAGTTTCTATTGCTATAGAGACACCATGACCAGTTTAACTCTTATAAAGTAAGGCATTAATTGGGGCTAGCTTACAGTCCAGAGATTTTTGTCTGTTCTGTCATAGCAGGAAGCATGGCAGCACGCAGGCAGACACGGTTGGGTAAAGGTAGCTAAGAGTTCTACATCCAGATTGGCAGGCAGCAGGAAGAGACAGTGACACTGGGCCTGGCTTTAGCATCTGAAACCTTAAGGCCTACTGCTGTGACATACTTCCTCTAAAAAGGCCGCGCCTACTCCAACAAGGCCACACCTCCTATAATGCAACTCCATATTATGAGCCTATCGGAGCCATTTTCATTCAAACCACCACAGAAGCCTGATGAGGATGCTTGCATCATATTGTGACTCTAGCTACTAGTGTTCCCTTTTTCTCTAAAAAAAAATTGTAGCCTTGGGGCTGGAGAGACGGCTCATAGTTATGAGCACTTGTAGAAGACCTGAAATCAGTTCCACATCCGGCAGTTTCCAACCACCTACCACCTATAACTTTAGTTATGGGCAATATGACTTTCCCTCTTCTGCCCCCTCTGTGAGCATTGTGTGCATATGGGTCACATGCAGGCAAATAGGCACATACATATACATGCTGCGCCCCCACCACAAGCCACTCCAAGGTATCAGGAAAAGAGAGACCAGACGTCCAGCTGTTGTACTAATAGAATGCATGTGTTGCCTTTATTGCCAGGAGAATGTGTGTGTGTGTCTTCATTGCAAGTGCTAAGAGGTCTCTCCCTTCTAGGAGGGAGAAGCTTTATCTATGTGTTTACAGCACAGTGGAAAAACCCCAGGTAGAAGAGATCGTTGTTTTCCTCCTGTTAGATGTTGATGTCAGAGGGTCAAGGCCAGGGCAGTAAGCCAGGACTAGAAAACAGAAAGCACTTGGACTGGAAAACAAGTTGCACTTGTAGGCTGACCAGCAACTCACAGAGACCCCATGGGGCTGGGGCCCAACATATACACATAAATGAAAACCCGTTTTTAGAATGTGCCCTTCATTAAAATAAAGGTATCAGTTTTCTGTGAGATAATGTCTCCTAGCAACACCAGAAACTACACCCATAAAGACTAACCATCATGGCTGTTCAAACATTAACTGAACAAGGACGGGACAACCCCAACAGACATGCTGACATGGTCAGGGGAAGCCTGGTCCCACCCAAGCTGCCCTCATGTTCTTTGTCCCAGCCATTCTTTGTGACCAGAAACCATTCTTCCTGCAGGTTTTGTATCTGGAAGGCCACACGCTGTTATGTAGAATACATGGGGAAGAAGTTTAAGGATGTAAGATCTCCTCCCAAGTCTATGTACAAGTACCCACCGTGGAGTGGAGGTGAGTCCGCCTCAGACCCACAGCACCATTTCTCCAGCCAGAGACGTGAGGAGAGAACACAGGTCTGAAGGGCTTACTCGAAGGCCTAACGGCACAAAGGTGGTGCCTAGTACAGTGGTCAGTACCTTAACTTGGCCCTCTGAGAAATAGGAGTACTGGTGCTGACATGTGTCCTATCAGTGATGAGGAGTGCTATCCAGACAAAACCTAGAAGGAGCTGCCAGGATGTTCCTGGGCACACCTGTCCCAACCCCCATGCTGAGCACCTGGCAGTGGTGACCACTTTAGCAGTTGTTTGAGAGGCTCCGATCCAGCTGTCACCATGGAAAACTTGCCATTCAAGAAGTATCTATTCTATAGAGTTAAGTGTGAAAACTAAGTACATTGTGATAAATGTACATGTTTTCATGCATGTACATGTATACACATATATTTATAGTTTTATGAAAATGTAGGAGAAATACAAAAGTCTTGGCAGGGTTATCTCTGGGTGCTGTGATTATTAATGAGATATACTATTATTAATCTATATTTATAGAACGTATATATGTATATATACACATGTGAGTATATATATGTGTGTGTATATATATATATGTATCACATATATATTGTGGTTTGAATGAGACTGGCCTCCAGAAGCTCATATTTTTTAGTACTTAGTCCCCAGTTGGTAGAATTGTTTGTTTGGGAAGAATTAAGAGGTGTGGTCTTGTTGGAGGAGGTATGGTTTTGTTGGAGGGAGTGTGTCACTCATCATTCCCAGCATATGGTTGTGGTTCAGGATGTGAGCTCTCAGCTGTGTCTTCACCCTGCTAGCATAGACTCTAACCCTCTGTAGTTGTAAGCCCAATTAAACACTTTTATAAGTTACATTGGTCATGATGTTTTATCACAGCAATATAAAAGTAACTAACACACACACACACACACACACACACACACATACACACACAGAACATTCTACCTCATTAGCCCTCTCATCCTCAGGTAGTATTTTCTTGGTCTTTGTGCTGGTTAGTTTTTTGTTTTGTTTTTATCAACTTGAAACGAGCCAGAATCATCAGGGAAAAGAAAACCTCAATTGAGAAAATGCTATTGGACGGCCTGTAGACAAGTCATTAGGGCATTTTCTTGGTTAATGATTGATTCTGAAGGGTCCACTACACTAGGGGCAGTGCCGTCCCTGGGCAGGTGGTCCTGGGGTGTATAGGAAAGCAGGGGGAGCAAACCATTAAGCAGCACTCCTCTATGACCTCTGCTTCAGTTTTTGCCCTCAGGTTCCTGTTGACTTCCCTTCACGATGGACTGTAAGCTGTCAGATGAAATGATCCTTTTCTCCCCAAGTTGCTTTTGGTCATGAAATTTTGGCCCCCAGAAATTTATTGTTGGACCTAAGTCTTGTGCTAAAAGAGAAAAGGAGACCTAGGGGAGGCCTGATCTGCAATAAGATAAAGAAGGGATTCCCTCATGGCAAGAACCACCCAGCTAATCTGGCAACTCCTGAAAGGAAAAGGTCTCAGGAAATTCCTGCCCCTAAAATACCCCAACAAGGGAAATCTTCCACAAGTGGGACTGATTCAAGGGGGTCAGCAGAGAGTGGAGGCCCAGTCCATTAAACTTCAATAATCATGTGAGCTGAGGAGTCCTGAGGTCTGCTTCCCATTCTCAGCCCAGAACCCCCATCACCCGTACAAAGGCTTGCCTACCAGTGACGCTCCAACATTGACATCATGACCTGCACGTGTTCAACAAGAGCTTTTCCCTTACTTGAGATTTGTTGTTTTGTCTTGTGCTTTCGGGTGATGCTACAGAGTTTTAATATTTTTCCTTCTTTCTTCCCAGGTGACCATGCTGTCTTAAGGTTCACTTTGCTCAGAGGTATTGAATGGTTTCGACCTCAACACGCCCGCGAGGCAGTGACAAATTCAATCCAAAACTGTGAGTTGGAGTTTCACTGGCTACAGAAGTTCCCTGACCAACTGGAGGGGGGTTCAGAGTCCAGATCAGCCCATTCTCTTATTAACGGTAAAACGACTACGGTCCTCTAATGGAAATGAATTGCTCGAGGCTGTACAGCTTGGGAGCAGTTGAGGGGGTGAGGAGTACTTCTCCTGGCCCCCTCTGGGCTCTGCACAGCTCCACCTGACTAATCACGCCTGGTCAGTTTATTTGTAGCCCCTAAAGAAAGGTGTCTGCTCATTTCAGGCATCACAAGTCATCTTTGCTAAGAGACCACCACATGCTCTCTCCTTACACAGGGTCTACCTACTGATTTGGACAGCACCTCCATCCCACACCTCCTGCTTCCTGGAGACTCCCACTACTGAGTCCTCATTACTGCTTCAAGTCCCCTCGTCCTTCCCTCCCTTGTCGGGAGCACAGTGTATGCTTTACCTTCCCCATCTTCCACCTCCAGGAGAGTTTCCCTCCTGGGCACCACACTGCCTTTGTTGTATACAGCCTGTCCCAGAAGGCCTCCCAGTCCTTCCCAACTATTAGCTTTTGTTGGGTCACCTCTTTTCTGCCTCTCTAAGATGTGAAATGTCAGTATGAATGTGATTTGAGTGTTCATTTTTGATCTCCATATTTACTTCCATGGGTCTATATGACTGACTTTGTAGCCTCTACATTCAGATGAAAGGTCTTCTAAAACAAGTAAATGTCAATCCCATAAACCAGGTCTTCAGGATACCCCTACAGCATTAGAGCACACCTTGACTTGCCCAACCCCCTTCCCTGGAAGGTGAAAGCAGGCAACTTTGCACCTAAAAATATCTTACTGCAAAATAGAAGCTAACACAATGTGCCCTCTCTATACTAACAATACATTTCAAACCCAATAGCAACTTACTGATTTAAACCATGTATGTGGTTATTATAATCCAATACCTAAAAGTCATAATATTTTTTCTTTTTTATTTATTTTTATTTTAATTTTAAATAGCTTGTTTTACATGTCAATCCCAGTTCCCTCTCCCTCCCCTCCTCCCACAGCCCCCCACCATCCCCCCCATCCTCCCCCATCCTCCCACCGTATTGTCAATTCCTTCTGCATAGGGTATATCTAGAGTCTATCATTTCACTCTGGGTAGGGTCCAGGCACTTCCCTAAGAGTCCAGGCAGAGAGAGCATCCCTCTTTGTGTTATGGACACACGATGTCTGTTAGTATTCGAGGGATAAACGCTGATCCACAGCTCAGGACCCCATAGGTAGCCCAGGTCTCCTCATTGACTCTCACAATCAGGGGGTCTGGATCGGTCCCATGCTGGCCTCCCAGCTGTCGGTCTGGGGTCCAAGAGCTCTCCCCTGTTCGGATCAGCTGTCTCTGCTGGTTTTGCCAGAAAGTCATAATATTACTGTCATAACTATTTTATGAAAATATGTATTTACATAGAATGAAGATACCTCTAAATTTAGATCCTAATAGCTGTCAAATAAGTTATATTGCTGGGCAAGAGAGATGGCTCAGTGATTAGGAACATGCACTACTCTTACAGAGAACCCAAGTTCATCTCTGAAGGCACCTGCTCTCACATGGCATACACATACAAAGACACACATACTTAAACATACTTAAAAATAATAAAATAGAGCCAGGCATGGTAGTGCATGCATTTAATCCCAGCATTCAGGAGGCAGAGGCAGACAGATCTCTGTGAATTTGAGGCCAACCTGGTCTACAGAGTGAGGTCTAGGCCATCCAGTACTACATAGAGAGACATTGTCTCAAAAAGAAGAGGAAGGAGGGGAAGAAGGAAGAGAAGAATCCTTAAAACTTTAGATAAAAAAATATTCCTATTACAATCATTCATAAACATTCTTTTTTTTACTTCCAAGAATACCAGTATATTTTTTAAGCAACAAAATAATAAAAGTGTAGGGACTGATATTCATGTTATAATGCTATTACAACAAGGTACCTCTTGGTATTCAGAAAAACAAAGCAAAGTATATCCAAACCACATTACATTGTGGTTATGTGAATGAGAATGGCCCCCATAGGCTCATATATTTGCATGCTTAGTCATCAGGGAATGGAACTGCTTGAGAAGGATTAGGAGGTGTGGCCTTGTTGGAGTAGGTGTGGCCTTGTTGGAGTAAGTATGTCACTAGGGGTTGGCTTTGAGGTTTCAAAAGCCATGCCAGGCTCAGTGTCTTTCTTTCTGCCTACTGCCTGTGGATCAGGATGTAAAGCTCTCAGGTACTGCTCCAGCTCCATGCCTGTCTACTTCCCACCGTGATGATCATGGACTAACTCTCCAAAACTGTGAGCAAGGCCCTGATTAAATGCTTTCTTAGATAAGTTGCCTCAGCCATGGTGTCTCCTCATAACAATATAACAGTGGCTAAGACACAGAGGGTGAGATGATGTTTATAATCATTAATTGCACCATTCTGTTTAGTTTTATCATATGACACAACCTAAAATGTAGTACATAATCTGTTAAGTAAAAGTCATTTCCCAAATGACAAGAAAATAATCGAACATAGAAATAAACATGAATTAGAAGCCAAAAATGTTTCTGATGTGTTAACAGAAGCTGATCCCTGGAAGAGTACAGGAGCAGTGGGTGGGGGACTTTCTTTTGGTGGAATGTAACATTGCCATGCATTCTGACTTTCTCCTTTGCATCTGTCTTAAGCTTCATCTAGCAACCTCACCCAGCCCAGTAGACCTGCCATCTCTTCCGCGCAGTTGGGGTCTTCTGCCCCGAGGTAGGTGTGAGCTAGAAATCCTTGGCAAAGATGTTCTGTCTAAATGCACAATGGGTGACAGGATCAATTTCCCAGAGTGCAGCTCCATGTTTGACACTGCTCTGTATGTAGAACCAAATGGAGCTTAGCTTACCTGGCATCCCAGTAGTCAGATCTCTGCGGGGGTCTTTGCTCACCTCCCGTTATGACAGGCATTTCAAAGTATTTTCGTTATGGTTATTGTCATTTCCAAAGGAAATTACAACACACTGGTATTTTATTTGCTGGCTCCTCTCCTCTCTCTCTCTCTCTCTCTCTCTCTCTCTCTCTCTCTCTCTCTCTCTCTCTCTCATATTCATGTATGTGTATATTTTCATGTATATATGCACATGTGCATAGGTGCACATGCATATCTGTGGGTGAGCATGTGGAGGACAAAGGTTAACACTATCTTCCACAGTCACGTTCCACCTTATATTTTTTGAGCAGCGTCTCTCGCTGAACTTGCCGTTCACCCATTCAGATAAAGTGGCTGATGAATGAGTTCTAAGGATCATCCTGTCCCTGCCTCCCCAGCCCTGAGATTTCAGGCACATGCTGTCATGCTTGAATTTTGGCATGAATGTTCAGAATCCCAACTCAGGTCCTCTTTCTTGGGCAGCAAGCACTTTAACAACTTAACCATCTCCCCAGCCTCACCCTGCTCTTCTTTTAGACCAAAACTGTCCTATATCAAAAAAGAAAAAGTAATCAAGTCAGGTCCAGAACAGAGGCAAATCATTCCTTAGCAGCCTTCCAACACAGACAGAACCCTTTTTGGTCAGAAATGAAATGTCCTGGGTACCATCTGCAAAGATCAAATAGGAGAATGTTAGGGGCAGCCCAGACACTGAAAGACCAGAGTCAGTGGGTAAGATGTGGGCAGAGAGTATGACAGACAGTTCCTTGCCCTCCCTGACTGGGGGATGGGAAGGGGCTATGAGTTGGTGGCTTAAGTCACCTGACCTGGACTTAAGACACTACAGTTCCATAGCCTTATACAAATCCTGGCTCCGGATTGCTGAGAAAGCTCATGATGGATGGATATATGGATGGATGGATGGATGGTATCACTGAGTACCACAGGAAGTGAGGTGCTGTGACTCTCAGCTCTATTTGCACAATGACTCCCATCCATTGTCTCAGTAAGTCTTGACTTTTTGATAGGCGAAGAAGCTGTGTGCTGAGCAGGGAGTTACTTTGAGTGTGACACTTTCCATTCCTTGTCGTGTTCTCACCCATGGTAAACATCCCTGCAGCTTCCATGCACGGGAACAGTTGCTCTTCCCTGAGTATTGTTCACACAGCAATTAATGAATTTTCGTAACATTTTTTTAACCAAAGCATCTAAGCAATGGCCTTCATTTTAGAGTAATTAGACTTATTCTATGTCAGGAGTAAAATGATGGTAATTTATGAACAGCCCCTCAACTAGAAGGAACTGAACAGCTAGTTCAATGGTTCCATGGATTACAGAATACAGAATTACTAAGTAATTACAATTACTCGAGAATCCTTTCAAATTCCCACAGATGTGTCCACTACTGGTAGCCTTTACCCTAAACTTTCCCAAAGGATGAAGTACATTATGATGTTACAACAGGGCTTATGACCCCTGAGACTGAAGCAGTCTGGTGAGGCTGGGGTTGATGCAGGTAGGGAAAAGCAGTAGGTGCACTTGGTCTCATAGGAGGTCAGAGGTAGGCAAGGCTCAAGAAGAGTGCCTCAAAGCCCAAGACGGCCATTCCAAGGCAGGCATTCAGCACAAGAAAGACTGAGAAGAAAAAAATGAAGCTTCCCTTGCCTCACAGGGCTGCAGCTTAAGAATAAGACTTCAATTCATAACAAATAGTGATGATGAAACAGAATTCTAATTGTTAAACATCAGATTAAAATTAAGATCCCAGGCAAGGAATAAAGAGGAATTGAGGTCCCAGGAAATAACTTTAATAAAAAAAGAGCAAGAGGCCTGAAAATGAGACCAGAGAGGATGTGAGGGTACCCACAAGGTGACAGATGAGGTTCTAATAAAATGCTGACTTAGGGGTCACATGATAGATACTGTCCAGGTGGATTAAGACATGACTGAACTCCTACATGTTGGCAGTAGATGAGTCTCACTCTAGAAAAGGAAAGATGGATTTCATTCATTTAAGAGAAAGATCTTTGGGTTGTTTTCTCATTGATCATTAACAGAATGATAAGCTCCTATAGCTTTGCCTATAGGCATGGGCTGTATAATTTGTAGGGCAAAGGCCGTGTCCTATTTTCCTTTGTACCTCCAGTGCCTGACATTGTAACACATTAATAGTTTTCCCATCAATAGATCCCGAATACACAAGTAAATGAAATGGGCTCACTGCTGGGAAGGTAGTAGAAACAATAAACTGTGTTTATTGTTCTTCTTCTGCCTTTCTGACCTATTACTGGAGAATCAATCAATGATCAATTACAGTCATGATGGCCACAGCCAAGAGAAAACATCAAGAAGTGTTTCTTCTGTGGATATCTTTATAGTACAATAATTCTTGGTGCTTTGAGAACTTTGATTTTTCTTTCTTTTTTTTTTAGGAAGTTGATACAGCCCAATCAGATTAGGGAGTGACCAAAAGAGACAGAAAGAAGAAAGGCAAGAGAGACTGAAGGCCCTACCTCCACCTTCAGAGGAGCCTTTGCATGTGCGCGCATCACAGAGCAACATGAGGGATGTGATGACATCTGTCCCTCATTGCCACTGCTACTGGATCCAGATGTTTCCTCAAGAAGAGGAAGTGATTTGAATGCACAGTACCATGGGGTACCAGCCCTCACCCCTACACGGTAATCAGGGCTGTAGGTCATTAGCCAGAATAAAGGATACACCCTATTTACTATCCTACATTCTCACTCATATATTGAAGAAATAAGGGTTAAGATAATCAGTTACCAGAAGCTGGGAAATCAGGGTGACTTGAGGTACAGGAGTGCAGTTAAATAGAAAGAGAAAAGTCCAAAAGTTCTAAATGTGTTATGGTAACTATAGCTGATAACAATGTACCTCTAAATAGTGGGAAAGATTGTGAATGTTCCCAACAAAGAACTAGTAAATATCAGTTCATGTACATGACAATGACCTGACACAGACAGTGAATATTATGTGTGAGTTGAATTACCACACTGTGTCCCACAACTACATACCATTACAAGTCATTTGAAAAAAAAACTAATCTGAGTATGTAGTTCAGTGGCAGAGCACTTGCTTAATACACAAAGGCCCTGTATTCAGTACATAAGGCCCTGTATTTAATCCCTTGCACCTTCTCATTTTTTTACTGAAGGACACCTAGTGTGGTGATCAATCTTGTCTACTAGATTGGATTGACAGCAACCTTAGAGACAAGTAAGGCATTTAATTCTGTATCAGTGTGATGGCTTTCCCAGGCACCAGCAGATCCTGAGGACTCTGACCTAACCCGGGGGCCAGTCCACCGATGAACCAGTGACTTGGTGCCATTATTGGGAGGTGGTGAAAGGTACAAGGTGGGCCTAGGCAGTCATTTGGAGACCTAGCTTCCTCTGCCCCCTTCTTGTACTTGCTCTCTCTGCTCCCCTCTGACATGAGTTGAGGATGCTTCCCCACAACACACTCCCACCACTGTAAAGTCCTGCCCAAGCTAGGCCAAGCAACCATGAACTGAGCTCTTTAAGACTGTGAGCCAGGGATGAGGACAAGGAGACCCACTCATGCCTGGGGTGGTCCACCCCGGGCTCTGCGGAGAAAACACACCACAACACAAGGCAGTGGGCAGTGGGGCACTGTGTATGGTGAGCAATGTATGGTGTGGCGTGGGGGACAGAGAGAGACAGAATGGTTCATGCCCTGTGGACACAGGCATATGTGAAGACGTGAAGTCGGTGAGCAGCAGGCTGAAGCGGGTGGCTTGATTGCCATCCAAGGTGATTTCTGGTTCCCGGCCCTGTAGCAGTCATAGTCTGTGCTTATGTCCCTGGCTCCTGATACCACCAAAGGCCGAGAGGATAAGGGCTATACAGAGTTGGCCCCACCCTTCACTGGTTGCAACCCTAAGGACAGCAGGTCTTACACTTGACCTAGGCATCACAGTGTAGCTGGCCCCTAGACAAGGCCGTGGGTGACCCAGTCCTAAGGGCTTGAGAGTGGTGGAGTTGGCACTGCCCCCCTTGCCTGTGGTAGGGGGATGAGGGCAAGGAAAAGAGGCCCTCCCCCACTGCCCCTGTCACCTCCAGCTGGCAAGGGAGCTGGGAGGTTCTGACCCCACCCCTCATCTGCCATAGGGTTGTATGGGTCGGGGAGAGATGCCCCGTTTGCTGTGGTGGCTGGGAGAGTGGGCCCTGAGGTCGTAAGAGCAGGAGAGCTGTCCTTGTCCTCATCAGCACTTGGGAGAGCGGCCCCTATGCCTCACCTGGGCAACACAGTAGAGCTGGCCCTGATGGTGTGGGTGTAGGTGAGCCAACCCTGAGGGCAGGAAAGCAAGAGAACCAGCCCTGCCCCCTTGTTCTTCCCTGCAAAGGGTGAGCTGGCTAGAGCAACGCTGGAACGCTCACCCTGGTAGTAAGGACGGGTGGCGTAAGGGAGTGGAGCTGTAGGGCTGGTCAACCGTGCAACTACTCAGGCCTAGAACCAGGGTTATGAGTTGACTCACCCCAGCATCCACCCATCTGAGATCTGCTGGAGCACAGGGTGGGCCATGTCCTTCAGACCCAAAGTTGCAGTATTGCCGTGACACAGGGCAGCAACAGGATATACAGGAGGAGTCCCAGTGAGGGCCCAGCATCTCTAGAGTAGCAGAATCCAGAGGCCGCAAACCAGATGGATGATTCTTTGCAGTGAACACTTGCAAGGAAAGATGTATGGACAGAAGGGTTGCTGCATGACTCATGTCACACGGCAGCTTGCATGATGAGATTTTTTTCTTCTCTTTTTTTTCTCTTAAATTTTATTTTGGGGATAGGTTGCAAGGGCAGAGGGTGGACATGATGGGATGTAGAGATGAATGAAATCAGGATGCATGATGTGGAAGGCACCAAGGATAAGGAAAAATAAGGGTTAAAATTTAAATAAGTGAGAAAGAAGTAAAAGCAAAACAAAACTATGAGCCAGGATAAATAATACCCCTTAAATTGTTATCAGATGCTTTTACAACAATGATAAAACATAGAAATGAATATGAATTTCAGATAAGCAACGAATAATTTTTAGCATAAGCATGTCCAAACACTGTATAAAAAATAGTCATACTAAAAGAATTACTTGGTTTTTGTTTGATATTCAAATTTAATTTATTTGACCTTTATAGTTAACCTATTATTGACCAAAAGTAGCACAGGCCTGAGAGTTGCATCCCTACCACTAGAGTGGCAGCTGAGGCAGGGCTCTCAACAAGGGAGTCTATGCTTTGGTAGTGGGCATGTCCCTTCTCTGATCCTGTCGCTCCTGAGGCATTGTTCTGGATTTTCTAAGAACGATGGAGAGCGACGAGTGCTGAATGCCTGCAGGTGAAGCGAGGCCATGGGGAAAGAAGAGGAATCGACATCTTAGGGAAGAGAGAGGAATGGTTTATATAAAACAACGTTGCTGTATTAGATGTTGGGCTAAATGGGCATTTGATAACCTCATTTGACAATTCCAAGTCATTGTGATTTTTACCTACAGCTACGATCTGTCCAAAAATTTAGAAATGCTGAGAACTAGAAACATGCATGTGTTCAGTGGATGTGGGAAAGACAGAGAAAACATAGGAAGGAGAGAAATGGTGTTGTCAGCTTAGGATGACCCTAGGCCAGGGAGTAAAGGGACCGTTTATAAAGGCTGAAGAAAGAACTTTAGTCCTAACAGTATGTGTACTGTGTCAAAATTTTAACATTTTACGATGCTGAATCTGCATATCCATGGGATAATTTGCTGTTTTGATTTCAGAGTTTTCCCCATATGCTTCCTATTTGTGTACTTTAACATTTGTAGCTAAGCAGTTCATTTGGAGGAGATGTTAACATTAATGGTGCCATGTTTTTAATTTCTAATTCTGCTTGTTCGTTGCTGATGCATAAGAAATGGACGTTGGGTATATGACTGCATCTTTGAAACATAACCATCAGGACTGCTTCTTGGTAACTGGTCAGTTCCCCTGAATAGTTACAAACACGCAGAACCATTAGATTGGTGTGTGGAGCTTTACCACCAGCCCTTGGTGCCAACAAATTGCCTGACGCTTGCCATGAAATTGAGATAAACCAGGCGCATTCAGGATGGGATGAGGTCACTCTTGCCCTGATGGCTTTTAAGTTCTCATTTTTCGGATTCAAATCATACAAGTCCACTTGGTCTTGCTGCTGCCCAGGACCAGGCTTTTGTCAATGAGCTGCCTATAAATTATATTCTGTGCAGTCCTGGATCTATCTGTCTGTCTCTTTTCTTCAGCCTTGTTTGGGGCTGATTTTTACATACTGAAACCAGGTTGTTACAGAACATGTAGGAAGTCATCCAGGAGACCAAGCAAATGAGCATGGAAAGAAAGCATCCTGGGAAATTTCAGACTTGCCATTTTATGCTGTGTTTGGAGGAGCATAGTATCTGCTAAATGCTTTTTGCCTGCCTCGTGGCTATGGGATACCCTATCATTGCCATGGAGTTGGTAGCAGCTATCTTGCTGAATACTTGCTGAGACTGGATTAACTTAAGCATGAGAAAAGCATGGCCAAATCAAGAGGACTGACAGAGAAATGTAAGTCCATAGAACAGCACTGAGGAAGCCCACAGCATTCTTTGGAAACTAGACATGCAGTGAGCCATCCATGTTCCAAGGACCCAATATAGCTCGTTTTTACACTAGAATTATAAAAAATAAAAGTAAAATGACACTCCCTCGTGAATAGTATGTCCTCTCCAGAGGTGTAGCCTCTGTTAAGTTGCCCATGATCTAGTAAATAACCCCACATCCATACAATGCAAGCAACCCTATCTAAACTCACTGGGTTATTAAAAATATATACATAATTGTAGAGAGAGGTGTACTGGGAGAAAGAAAGATCCCAGAAGGGAGTGAGAGGAAAATAAGAAGGGAGAATGGGAGATGAATATGATCAAGATATGTTATGTACATTATGAAATTATCAAAGAATGAATTAGAAATTACTTTTCAAAAGACCAGTATGTCCCCTTTATCTGTTTTGTTAGCCCAGTTGTTGAATAAGACATTTAAGATGTAGGCAAGGTGGTTTGCTGGCCTGAGGGAGGGGAAATGTGCAGAGGGCCTATTGTCACAAAGTCTGGTCAGAAAATAAAATGAGCAGATAAAAATGAGAAAGAAAAGAAATGAACCAGTTAGGATATTGAGGAAGCAGATGGCCTATTATTTGGTTCTTGCCAGCACTGCCCCAGAACAGACAAGGAAAGCTAGTAACATCTTGGTAGCTTCATGGAAGAAACTTAAATCCAAACAACCTCTCTTTCCCCCCTCTTCTCTCTGGCACTCATAGCTGGCTATGAGGACGAATCCCCTCATCCTCTGTGACTGGAGATGGGACAGAAGTCACCCCAAAATAAGGGCTGAATGGATGGCCTGAGACCAGTATCTCTGTTTTCTGGCTCCTCAAAAACAAGGGAAGGCTTGCCAGGTAGTAGTGGTGCAAGCCTTTAATGCCAGCACTCAGGAAGTAGAGACAGGTGGATCTCTATGAGTTCAAGGCCAGCTACACAAAGAAACCCTGTCTCAAAAAACCCAACAAACAAACAAAGCAAGCATTGTTGCACTTGAGAGAACCCCAGTCTGTATTTGGCACTAATGTTCCTGTCCTGGAAACCTCTCTGGGATGGTTTTTCTCTTGGGAAAGACGTGCAGAACTCTGGGACTGGGGAGGGGTAGGGTTGGACTCAAAGTTCAGGTAGTAAAGGCAATATTGATGAAGAAATACTAGCTTTACGGCTGTTAGCTTTACGGCTTCTAG